TTTCGTGAGAATGACCCATATATATATGGGAGATAGTGCAGCATAGGATTAAATGATGACTCACCATCTCTTTATTTAATGTCTCAATTATTTTATCGGATATGATTAAGTTGCATAATGATTTAAATGTTTCAACTTCACGTAATTTGTAATAATACTCGAAATGTGAATTTAAGCGAGTAGCAAATTGAATATATGTTTGTTCTTTAAATTTTGAGGCATTTTTAAAGTTATTTAAACATTCTTGGGGAGTTTGTTGAAAATCGCGCAATATTAAAGCTTTTAATTTTTCATAGTTTCTTAAATCATCATCTTCAATGTATAACAAGATGTTGTTTGCTTTTTCACCTAGCATATTGATTAAGATTTCCGCTTTAAGCCCTTCATTTATGTTTTTCGTACTATAAGCTCTTTCCAACGATGAAAAAAAATTGATTAAAGTTTTCAGGTTTCGATGGAACTGGAAGAGATAGAGTTTTAATGTTATGAATTAGATTCTCAATGTTTGTTTCGGGTGTATCAATTATTGTTGTGGGAGGGTCGATTTCGAATGATTTGTTTTTCACCTCTAATAAAAGCATTTCTTTCTCGTGTCTTTCTAATTTTAGTTTTTCTAACTCAACTTGAATTTCGCTTTGTTTAAGTTCCCTGTCAGCTGCCTGTACTCTTTCTTCTACAGCGTTAGCTATCAAATTTTTGACAAATTCAGAATCGTTTTTAAATATTTCGGAACGTTCAATTTTTTCTTTTAATTTAACGATATTATCGCTGCTGTCTGCGATGCCTCCTATTTCCTCTAATACTTTTACTAGGTCTTCTTTCTTTGAATTTTTATACATTTTTAAAATTGAAAATTTTCTACCTTGATTGAAGAGACTCTCAGTGTCCAATGGTAATCCAATGTTTCTCGATTCGTTGATTCAAACCAGATTCGTATCCCTTTCGTATCCAAGCATTTCACGATTGCACTTCCCCGGAAAAGTTGACTGCCTTGCTGATTTGTACAGAATATTCCAATAATTTCGGAAAGTTTCTGGATCAATTCTGCCCTTCGCGACAGAAGCTTCTGGATCAATTCTGTCCTTCGCGACAGAAGTTTCTGGATCAATTCTGTCCTTCGCGACAGAAGTTACTGGATCAATTCTGTCCTTCGCGACAGATCCGGTTATTGCTGATTTAGGAAAGTTCAGAGGTCTCTGCTGATGCTTTTCTCCAGTCGCTGATTTTTTGTTGCACTTCTCCTGATTCTCCACGAGCGTAGAATTTCGGTGATTCGGTAAACAGTTCGGTGATTCCCCTACTCGTGATTTAAAATAGGAACAAAATCTGGATCTCCTTCTCGAGCGCAGAATTTTGCTTTCCTTTTTTTTTCGGTGAATGTCCCCTTCTCGGGATTTCTAAAGTTACTTGGCTGAAAAATATCCCCTTCTCGGGATTTCGAAGTAGTTGGTTAAAATCCCCTTCACGGGATTTTAAAGTTTAAAAATAGTTACAGCTCGCCGTTCAAGTTCCGGACGCAAGCCCCCATTATTTGTGGGAGTTAGTGCAGCATAGGAGTAAAAAATGACGATAATTTAACAACATAACAATTTAATAGCAGTAAAAGGATAGAAGGATATAACAGTAAACGTTATTGACATGCATTCCGGAGACTACTGCGCGAAGGCAGCTCTCACGAGTCATGTCAATAACGTTTACTGTTATATCCTTCCATCCTTTTATTTCTATTAAATTGTTATGTTCATTAAATTATCGTCATCATTTACTCCTATGCTGCACTATCTCCCACATATATATTAGAATTAGAAACTATATATTAGATATATATATTAAAAGTAACCTTTTTACCAGAAATTTCCTTAACATTCTATACAGTAATTTTACCAGAATTATTTTTCTTCGTGTGGATAATAATAATTCAACATGCAAAAACTCCATAACTTATGTATTGCAATCATCAAATACTTGAATGAAACATTCCATTGAAGTCGAAGACACGTATTCTTAGAGAAGCAATGTTGTTTTAATGTGAATGCAAAACTTGAAAATCTCAAAATATGTCTTTCTGTTTTGACTTCTGCAGAGTANATAATTTTATTTTTTTGCCCATTATGCACATTACATAGAGGTTTGAACCTCGAAGATTATTGCTTTTAGAGTACTTATCCGTTTCATGGTCCATGAGAAATCCTTTACTATAGTACTTATATTCTTCTATAGTACTTATATGCACGTCAACCAACTGATACACGACCTATTACCCTCTGAACGTTAGTCCTAACTTTTAACTGCCAGTTTTCCTATGTAAAAAAATAGGTTTACTTATGTTCTTCAATGGAAGAGAATTGTATAGTAGATAAATTTCGTACAATTTTTCCAAGGGGCTCATCGCTTGGAGAGTTAAACGATGGCAGAAAACTATTTTTACTTAAAAATATGTGACTAAAAGACTAACTCATTAATGCGTTAAAGCAATTCTCTTAAGAAAATGAATTAAAGTTAATTTAAAGTATTTTAATGATTTTAAAATGTTACTTAGGTAGGTACTTTATTTAGTCGCTCTAGAGCTGCACATTGAGCTATTGGCGACGGTCTGAGAAATATCCCTGAGGATGATCCGAAGACATGCCATTGCAATTTTTATCTTCTGCTGAGGGGATGGCTACCCTGCTTTTGGTATCCCGACGACCCACTCGCGAACTTTAAAATGTTACGTAAATAAACGATACATTTGTAGTATTTTTGCATATTGTGTGTTATTTTTATGGTCTACTTCTTCGTACTTTGGATCTGAAATTGAATTCCCGTGTTTTAGAACCATTCGAAACATTAGAATCAAATTTCTTATAATATTTCATTGCAATTAAAATCTCCGATCTACTGGTCTAAATCCAACTAAATTTTTCATTAATTAGACACTTCATTAGTTAGACAAATTAGACATACGCTTTACAAAGGCTTACAAGCAGGGAAAAAAATCTTACAATAATATTTAAGTGATGAAATTAATGATAAATTTGTCACAAATGTCATACAAAAAATTAAAAGCTTGGTGGTAAAAGCCATTTGAGTACGTATTACGATACTATCAATTATCTATTATTACAAAGCCTGTATGACCTATTACCATAATTATTAAAATATGAGTAACGTCAATAATAATTCGAAAATTATTTTTTAACGACCACCGAATCGGATAGGCTCTAATTTTATAGTACATAAAAATGTTATCTTCATTTACGAAAATAATTTATCTCTCTCATTGTTCAATACATATGTTTATAATTGATGTATTTAAGTTTGTTTTTAATGTCACGTTTTAATGCTTTGAGGAATTTCCCATTATAGTTTAAAAACATAAATTTTCTACTTAGAAAGATTTATTTTTGTTTTGGCGAACGTTGCTTACTAGAGAACTACGTGATAAATAACAGTAAGCCGCGATAATAGCACATCATTCACTTTTATTTCATTTTTTATGAGATCCATTCAAAGACAGAATTAAAACAACAAAATATCAGCAATTTATGCTTCTTAATTAATTGAATAAGATTTAGATTATTCTCATTCTTTACTGTGAATCAACAGTAAATTCATATATTTTAGAAAGAAAAAAATATTATTTTCCTCACTTTTTTTCGCTTTTTTTATTTTCAGTTATTGTATGCATAATGAATATAAATCTTTCAGAGATATTTAAATCTTAAATTTAAATACAACAATGCCTCAGAAGGACATTGAATGACTGCAAAACAGATTAAAAGACGGCAAAGTTTTACTGTTATCAAAGAATTAAAATTTTGCAGTGCTATTAAGTAATGTTTCGTTAGATGACATTATAGTAACAGGTAGAACAGTATTATTGGCCCAGCTTGGAAAATTGTGGACATCAAATATAACAGCTCCCAAAGAATTTATCATGAGCATTTGAACAGCTAAGCACACGATATTCATCCAAATACCTGGTTTAACCTGAAATTAAATATTTCATGAATATTAAAAATAAGTTTAATAAAAGTTTAAAGCAATTACGCTAAATATACCAATGAATGTTTTAATTATACATTGAGATAAGTATTTTGTAGTAAACGAATCATCAAAACATTCTTTATTGTTTGTATTTTGGGTGTTCTGTAATCATCACCTTTATTATATATTTTAAGAAAGTGTGGCAAAATATACACCTTAAAGGCAAAAAAATAACCCTTTTAATTTCTGGTTTTTATATTAGATATAAAGCTAATTAATTACTAAGTTACATTTTAAATTGCAATATTTTTTTTTCCTTCATTTTTAGAAAATTTGAAGATAAACGTAGCAAATTTATATTTAAGTGAGGAAGGAACAAAAACTCTATAAAAATCTAATTAATCCCTATTGAGGAAGACAGGACTAAAATTATTAAAACATAAGTTTTTCTGGCAATCAATCTTGTCCTGATATTCTGCACAACGTCTTTTTATACTATGGATTCCACAAATGTTAAAAGCGTTTTTGTTTCTTCCTCAATTAAATATTAAATGGCGACCCCTACTGTGTATATTATTTTTATTTTGTTTTTAACAAGTTTTCTAATATTATATAGCTATGCTGGTATTTTATACCATTTTTTAACCGTCGTTGAACAGCCTTGCCTTGCAATCGAATCTAGAAGACAAGGAAACTTCAGGATCAAACTTCGGTAGAAATTTTGCCATCATGGAGGACTTTTCAAGGGAACTGACCCACATTTGCGTTACATGGAGTGGAAAACCACGAAAACCACCCACGGTTAGTTTGACGGCAAGAAGACTCTAGCCCATGATCCGTCTACCACTGAGAATATTTCACGTCAGCACTGTGGTCAGTACGAGCCGGATGCGGAATTCGTATCGACCAGTCATCGATGGGATTTGAACCTGGCTGGTCAGGCTGATGGGCTGGTCATCGATGGGATTTGAACCTCGTTCACCTCATTGGAAGACGATTGTTCCATCCTCTATGCTGGTATTTTATTTTTTATAACCTTCGTTGAACATCCGACCAAATTTTAGGATTACGACTAAAAAAAAACAAGAAACGCCCTCTACCTGAAAAATTAGCTTGATTTCAAGCAGGCTTGTTAGTATATGACAAGTGGCATAAGTATGAGGTGAACCGGGTTCGAATCCCGGCGATGGCTGGGATACGAATTCCGCATCCGGCTTGCACCGACCACAGTGCTGACGTGAAGTATCCTCAGTGGTAGACGAATCATGGGTTAGAGTCCCCTTACAGTCAGGCTAACCGTAGGAGGTTCTCGTGGTCTTCCTCTCCATGCAACGCAAATGCGGGTTAGTTCCTTCAAAAAGTCCTCCACGAAGGCAAATTTCTCCCAATACGTGATCCAGAAGTTCCCTTGTCTTCTGGATTGGGTTTTAAATTACAAAGCTACGGAGTTGAACATTAGTAGTCGTAAATCCAAAATTGGGGTCGGCTGTTAAACGACGATTAGAAAAAAAAAATTATGTGGCATAAGTAACATCAACAACAGAATGTGTAATGTTAATTATAAATGTCCATTTAAATACATTTCCTTGGGGAATTTCGTGAATTTTGAACCTCTGGTGGGCAGGTAAAAAAACATATCTATTATTAATGCAAAACATGCAATCATTTGGTTCGAAAGTGTAAAACAGTTTCTCTCCCAGCTACTTTTTATACCTACCATATCCATGATTTTCATATTACTGCTTGCAAATACAATTGCATTAGGAGGTGTTCCAACAGGCAGCATGAAAGCGAAAGAACTTGTCACAGTTAAAGGCAATAACACATACAAGGGATTCATTCTCATCGCACTTGCCTGCAAAATAAAATACTGTTAAAAAAAAAGGTTCAAAAATAAAATTTGAACTTGAGAATAGAACGTAAATCAGCATACAACAAAATTAGAAAATTTTGTTATTGGTCAGGAGCCATTTTTAACAGTGGTCACTTTTTAAAACGTGAGACCACTTTATCGAATGTTTAAAATTTGAAGCGATTAAGAAAAACTGTTGCCATTTCTTTTGAAATATTTCTCAAAAGAGGATAAACACTACAACGTTCATTTCTAAAAAGAAGAAAAATCTTAAGAAACAGGCGGAACATGAAAATTTTCAGAATATTGTAAAATATTCATAATAAGTCCACATTTATCAAGAAAATATAACAACAAAATCCGGCACCTTACGTGGCGGAAAACGATAAGTTCAGTGCCTACTGTTTAAAAATGTACCGTATTTCTGGGGCTATCACAATTATCTTTTCATTTAGACAACCCATGACTATTATTCTAATTAAGGAACATTCGAAAAAAGTTAAACATTCCATCATAAAAAGTGTTATCAGCTGTTAAGCATGCAATAAAATTTATTGAACAAATTGCTTTAAAAATTGCAAATATGTTGTAGAGTTTTTAAATTTGGTGTGTAGGAAATGGCGGATTTTTTTAGTGCATGACACAAAGTTTTTTCCGTTCAATTTTATTTGAATATTATTGAACTTTTAGTGCTTTTTCGTGGAGTTTGCTCCTCTTGGACACTTTTTGCGGTTATCAGAAGTTGCAGTCCGTAAATAACTCCAATATTATTTAACATCAATATTTACACAGGAAAAGTGTGTTCTATAACAGTTGCACTGGTTTTTACAATTATTTTTTTTTTTGCTAAGTTGGCAAATAAATAGAAAATACCTCAGATGGCTGTTATTATACTCAGTGGCCCCCATCCCCCCAAGCTCTTGGGCGCATTTATCTCCCCCCTCCCAAAAAAAAAAATTTTTTTTTTGCTAACTTCCATGATAGCTTGTTCGAAATAGTGCTACTTGCTCGCATTGCCAGTTGCTTCTTTTATTTATGTACTTAAATTCTTATTTATTTATATTTTATAAATATATCTTATAAATTTATTTATGTACTTATGTAAAAAATTCTCCCGTCTAAATTCCCCCCCCCCAAACTATTCGTTTTATTTAGTGTAAAAATTACCCCCCCCCCAAACCTTTAAGTGGGCGCATCGTGCGCTCACTTCCCCCCTGATGGGGGCCCCTGATTATACTCTACAACATTGTTACAGAAGGCAGATTATTATTTATACAATTTTAATCTTTCAATTCATTGAATAATTCTAATATGTATTTATGATTATTTTACAACTGTACCACCAAAATTTTCTTCAGTATAAATAATTAAAGTTTAAGAATGCAATAAATATCCTTCCTAAAATAAAATAACATATTTCAACTGACTGCTTTTTCCTTCTTTCTTGAATTTATTAATTTCATCAGTTTAAATAGTTTCACTTTAGGCAATAGATTAGATAATTCGGATTAGGTAATTAGGATAAACATTTGATTGTACATATTTCTTGTTGGCTACTCGACATAAAATTGCCCAATATATTTGGCTGAATATGATCAGTTGACCCTTAGCTATGCACCAAATTTTGTGACTCCGGGTTGCTAAAAAATACAAGGATTTTCCAATTTATCTATTGTTATTTTGGCAACAAATGAATCTGTATTGTTCAATTGATGCCTCATTAAAGGTAAAGTAGCTTAAAGCGACGTTACTTTGGACATCTTTATAGTGAGGTTTTGGGAAATTAAAAGTAAGCAGATGGCTCAATCCTAAGGAAAGGTAACGAAGTCTTTTTTTTCTTCTAGCGGCAGATACTTGAAGATGCCGGAAGTGTTGCTCATTTAACGTTACCCAGTGGGCACCTGTAAACCTAAGTCACAGAGCCGAGAAACATTACCCACGCCACACTGCCACAAATACCGTGGGCCACATCCACACATCACACACAGCAGAGGAAGACACATAGAGAGAAACATCCATGCCCAGAGTGGGATTCGAACCCGCAGCCATTTGCTTCGCAGTCAGGCACGCTAACCGCTCGGCCTCCTGGCCGGCTATAACGAAGTCTTGAAGATTGTGAACTTAATAGTATAAAGTTTGCAAATTTATAAAAAAAAAAGATTCTCACCATTAGACTGATTATAGGAAACAATATGATGTTTGTCGTTATATTGGTCAAAAATTCCGTCATCGTGGTTGTTATTAAGCAAACTATTAATACAATTAAACCAGAGGGCAGCACTCGAAGTGACGTCATATGGTTCTGAACTACTGTCGACAATCCTGATTTCTGGAAAGGAAAACATATGAGGTTTTAAATAAATAATCAACAGCTGTGTAAGATATTATCTGATTAAAAACTTCATACGCTTCAAAAATATACAAAAATTAAATGACAGTCTTCATGTTTCAAGCACATCAAAAAACCTTGACTTTTTGATTTTTTCTCTTTTTTTCTTCTTTATCTTTTCTTTTCTCTCAGTTTCTGGGGTTTTATTAGTTTTCATTTCTTAATTTTACTTTTCCTTTTATCGAAGACAACTTTACGTTTTTCTTTTCAAATAATTTATGTTTCGTTGAATTCACATCTATTAAGTCTTGAAAATAGGCTTTTATTTTTTTATTCTCTTGAAACATGTCGACTGTCATATTTTGTATATTTTTGAAGTTTCCAATCAGGTAATGCATGAGCTATGCTAATAGAAATAAAATTCAATTGAGAAAAAGAATATATTTATTGTTTGTACAACTTAAGTATTTTTTATTGTATAGAGTGAGGAAAATGTAATTACAAGAATCCGAAATGTACAGAAAATTAGACGGTGTTCTGTTATGAGAGAAAATTTCTAAAATAAGCCTAGAAATTTTTCAAAAAGTGAAAATTTTAAAGAATAAAATAATTTGAAAAAAGAAATCATAACCTGTGCGGCATCTGCAAGAGCAAATCCTCCCCCAATGATTAATAATATTTCCCATTGAATATTTCTCTGCACTTTCTTCCATTTTAAAATAGGTCCACTTTTAAAGTTTCTGATATCGGAAGGCAAAAGAAATAACAGGAAAGATATTGCTATAGCAGGTACAACAGCGCCGATCTTCCTAAAAATTTAATTATGGAATTATTATTTTTTGTTTTGTCTAATGGCAGATACTGAACATATATTCTTCAGCTCGGAAGATGCCGGAAGTGTTGCTCATTTAACATCACACCAGTGGGCACCTGTGAACCTAAGTCACGGAGGCGAGCAACAATACCCACGCCACACTTCCACAGATACCCGTTTATAGGGTGGGCCACATTCACACAACAGAGAGAAACACCCATGCCCAGAGCGGGATTCAAACCCACAACCATTGACTTCGCAGTCAGGCACGCTAACCGCTCGGCCAATTATGAAACTATTAAAAGTTAACATTTAGCAAATGGAAAAATTTGAAGAGTAATGTGACACGAAATAATGTTTCACTTTTTCAACTATTTACGTACTCTATAAAAAAAAAATTTGAGTTCCTCAGCGCCGAAAATGGTGGCAACTCTTTACACCAAAGTGATGTAGTGAAACGCATACATAACTCTTGTATCTAGGCGTTTCACAACACCAAGAATGTTCTTTTAAATTACTAGAGGTAAATTAGTTGCCACCATTTTTGTCCTTCAATAAAATTTATAATTGCGTTATGATAAGCATCTTTTATTTTATTTTATATTCTTCAATGAACAGTAGGCCCAATTTTGAGTTAACGACTATCAATGTTCAACTACGGAGCTTCGTAATTTTGAACCCAATCCAGACGAAACTCCTGGATCAAGTATTGGGGGAAATATGCCTTTATGAAGGACTTCTTGGTGGAACTAATCCACATTTGCGTTACTTGGAGAGGAAAACCCACGGTTTGCCTGACGGCAATGGGCCTCTAACCCATGATACGTCTACGACTGAGGATATTTTACGTCAGCACTGTGGTCAGGGCGAGCCGAATGCGGAATTCGTAACGATCAGTCATCATTGCTGGGATTCAAACCCAGGTCACCCCATTGAGAGGGGATTGCTCTACCCCCTGAACCACCACGACCCACACATAAGTATCGTTAAAGTTATTTTTACGATACAATATCGAGTAAGAATCATTAATTTAGGATGCATCAATACAATTATTCTTAACCAGTCAGGTTACCGAGTGGTCTGGTCGATGTTGGTGTGTGTGAATGTGGTCCATCCTGTTAACTAGTATCTGTGACGATGTGGCTTGGATAACATTGCTCGCCTCTGTGAGTCAGGTTCACAGGTACCCACCGAGCATCGTTAGATGAGCAACACGTCCGGCATCTTTCGTGGCGAGGAACGTATAAGTTTTGTGCCAGTCATTAAAATGAAAAAATGAATATATTTCTTAAAATAAAATTTATTTCATCAAACATAAGCACAGCACGGAGAGGATATTAATATAAATTCTAACTAGGCTTAACAAAACCATTATAGATAGAAATAAAATATTATGTAATTATTTAATAGAATTAACATATTTATCTTGGAGCATAATCATTATTACTGTTCAACTAATAACACATGTCTTTTATAACATTTTACTTATGTGGGACGCTCAAAATCATGCGATGCGAAATCTGTTCGATTGTGAACAAGAAATAGCAATCGTGTGACGGTTTCGAAAAATGTCAGAACCGGGTAAAATTATTCACGAGTAAATGCACATGATCTAGATGTAATATTTCTCGTAAAAAATCCGTAGTTTTGATTCAACTGCACTTTCCAAAGTGTTTATGAATGCTCGTTTTGGTATTAACTTAAAATAACTCACAATTTTTAGAGTTTTTCTACACCAAATTCGCATAGGTAGATTTTTGCAGAGTAAAAGGGACCCAAAAAATTACCGATAAATTGATATACAAAAATTTTAAGAAAAAAGGAACTGGAAGAGTTGTATTATATGTATGTTGTACAGTTCATTTACGTCACACTAGAGCTGCACAATGGGCTATTGGCGACGGTCTGGGAAACATCCCTGAGGAAGATCCGAAGACATGCCATCACAATTTTGTTCCTCTGCAGGAGGGGATTGCACCCCCGCTTCGGTAGTCCGAAGTACCTGCACGCGAAGTCGAGCACTTCACGATAGANAATTTAAATACAACAATGCCTCAGAAGGACATTGAATGACTGCAAAACAGATTAAAAGACGGCAAAGTTTTACTGTTATCAAAGAATTAAAATTTTGCAGTGCTATTAAGTAATGTTTCGTTAGATGACATTATAGTAACAGGTAGAACAGTATTATTGGCCCAGCTTGGAAAATTGTGGACATCAAATATAACAGCTCCCAAAGAATTTATCATGAGCATTTGAACAGCCAAGCACGCGATGTTCATCCAAATACCTGGTTTAACCTGCAATCAAATATTTGATGAACATTAAAAATAAGTTTAATAAAATAAGCAGAAAGCAATCACGCAAAATATACCAATAAATGTTTTAATTATACATTGAAATAAATATTTTGTAGTAAACGATTCAAAGTTTAACTTCTTCAAAGCATTCTTTATTATTTTTGTTTTGGATGTTCTGTAATCACCACCTTTACTATATATTTTAAGAAAGTGTGGCAAAATATACACCTTAAAGGCAAAAAATATCCCTTCTAATTTCTGGTTTTTATATTAGATACAAAGCTACTCCCCCTATTAATTACTGAGTTACATTTTAATTGCAATATTTTTTTTTCATTTTTAAGATAAACGTCTTTTTCATTTTTAAGATAAACGTCTTTTTCATTTTTAAGATAAACGTAGCAAATTTATATTTAAGTGAGGAAGGAACAAAATCTCTATAAAAATCTAATTAATCCCTATTGAGGAACACGGGACTAAAATTATTAAAACATAAGTTTTTCTGGCAATCAATCTTGTCCTGATATTCCGCATAACGTCTTTTTATACTATGGATTCCACAAATGTTAAACGCATTTTTATTTCTTCCTCAATTAAATATTAAATGGCGACCCCTACAGTGCATATTATTTTGATTTTGTTTTTAACAAGTTCTCTAATATTATATAGTTATGCTGGTATTTTATACCATTTTTTAACCGTCGTTGAGCAGCCTTGCCTTGTAATTTTGAACCCAATCCAGAAGACAAGGAAACTCCAAGATCAAACTTTGGTAGAAATTTTGCCATCATGGAGGACTTTTTAAGGGAACTGACCCACATTTGCATTACATGGAGAGGAAAACCACCCACGGTTTGTTTGACTGCAAGAGGACTCTAGGCCATGATCCGTCTACCACTGAGAATATTTCATGTCAGCACTGTGGTCAGTACGAGCCGGATGCGGAATTCGTATCGACCAGTCATCGATGGAATTTGAACCTGGTTCACCTCATTGGAAGACGAATGTTCCATCCGTTGAGCCACCACGACTCTATGCTGGTTTTTTTTTTTTTTATGACCTTCGTTGAACAGCCGACCCAATTTTAGGTTTACGACTACTTATGTTCAACTCCGTAGCCTTGTAATTTTGAATCCAATCCAGGAAACGAGGGATCATGTATTGGGAGAAATTTGCATTCGTGGAGGACTTTTTGATGGAATTTGCGTTGCATGGAGAGAAAAACCATGAAAACCTTCCATGGTGAGCCTGACGGCAAGGTGACTAACCCAAGATCCGTCTACCACTGAAGATATTTTTTGTCATCACTTGTGGTCGGTGCGGAATTTCAATCAAGTAGCCATCGTTGAAGTTTGAACCCGGTTCACCTCATTGGAAGTCGAACGCTCTACGTCCTGAGCCACCACGGCTCTTGTGCTATTATTTATAGAGAGGACTGTCTAATGGACCGGGATATCCTGGTTTATAGGATGTTTGACTCTTGAAATCCCTTTGTGACAGGTGCGCGTTAAATCTGTCGGGGTCACAAAGTTCTCCAAATTCCCATAACAAATCAATACCACTGCGGGTACTCAATTTGAGATTGATCGTTCTCAGGTTCAGGTCAAAATTACGATCTGCGGATCAATCAATGGAGTATGATTGGGTCCTCCCTGTAAAACGGGCTGAGACATGTGCGTGGTTGAAGTCATATTCTTAACCATAGATGGCGCCATTGAGAAAAGCAAGAAACGCCATCTACCAGAAAAATTAGCTTGATTTCAAGCAGGCTTGTTAGTATTTGACAAGTGGCAGACGTATGAGGTGAATCGGGTTCGAATCCAGTCGATGGCTGGGATACGAATTCCGCATCCGGTTTGCAGCGACCATTGTGCTGACGTGAAGTATCCTCTGTGGTAGACGGATCATGGGTTAGAGTCCTCTTGCAGTCAGGCTAACCGTAGGAGGTTCTCGTGGTTTTCCTCTCCATGTAACGCAAATGCGGGTTAGTTCCCTCAAAAAGCCCACCACGAAGGCAAATTTCTCCCAATACTTGATCCAGAAGTTCCCTTGTCTTCTGGATTGGGTTTTAAATTACAAAGCTACGGAGTTGAACATTAGAAGTCGTAAACCCAAAATTGGGGTCGGCTGTTAAACGACGATTGAAAAAAAAAATATAGTGGCATAAGTAACATGAACAACAGACTGTGTAATGTTAATTTATAAATGTCCATTTAAATACATTTCCTTGGGGAATTTCATGAATTTTCAACCTCTGGTGGGCAGGTAAAAAAACATATCTATTATTAATGCAAAAAATGCAATCATTTGGTTCGAAAGTGTAAAACAGTTTCTCTCCCAGCTACTTTTTCTACCTACCATATCCATGATTTTCATATTACTGCTTGCAAATACAATTGCATTAGGGGGTGTTCCAACAGGCAGCATGAAAGCGAAAGAACTGGTCACAGTTAAAGGCAATAACACATACAAAGGATTCATTCTCATCGCACTTGCCTGCAAAATAAAATACTGTTAAAAAAAAAGGTTCAAAAATAAAATTTAAACCTGAGAATTGAACGTAAATCAGCATACAACAAAATTAGAAAAATTTTTTGCTATTCATCAGGAGCCATTCTTAACAGTGGCCACTTTTTAAAACATGAGACCACTTTATCGAATGTTTAAAATTTGAAATGACTAGGAAAAACTATCGCCATTTCTTTTGAAACATTTCTCAAAAGATGATAAACACTACAAGGTTCATTTCTAAAATTGTTGTTGCTGTTCATTTACGTCGCACTAGAGCTGCACAATGGGCTATTGGCGACGGTCTGGGAAACATCCCTGATATCTGCTCGGCCAATTATGAAATTATTAAAAGTTAGCATTTAGCAAATGGGAAATTGAGAAGTAATGCGACAAGAAATGATGCTTTAATTTTTGAACTATTTAAGTACACTATTAAAAAAAATTTGAATACCTAAACGCCGAAAATGGTGGCAACTACTTTACACCAAAGTGATGTAATAAAACCATACATAACTCTTCTATCTAGGCGTTTCACAACACCAAGAATGTTCCGTTAAATTACTAGAGGTAAAGTAGTTGCTACCATTTTTGTTCTTCAATAAAATTTATAGTTGTCTTATGATAAGTATCTTTTATTTTATATTCTTCAATGAACAGTAGGCCCAATTTTGAGTTAGCGACTACCAATGTTCAACTACGGAGCTTCGTAATTTCGAACGCAATCCAGACGAATCTCCAGGATCAAGTTTAGGGAGACATTTTTCCTTTGCGGTGGACTTTTTGATGGAACTAACCGTTACTTGGAGAGGAAAACCACGAAACCCTCCCACTGTTTGCTTGACGGCAATGGGCCTCTCACCCATGATCCGTCTACGACTGAGGATATTTTACGTCAGCAGTGTGGTCGGTGCGAGACGACTGCGAAATTCGTAACTACCAGTCATCATTACTGGGATTCGAACCCGGGTCACCTCATTGGGAGGGGATTGCTCTATCCCCTGAGGCACCATGACTCACACATAAGTATCGGTAAAGTTATTTTTACGATACAATATCGAGTAAGAATCATTAATGTAGGATGCATCAATACAATTATTCTTAACCAGTCAGGTTACAGAGTGGTCTGGTCGAGCGACTACGATACCAATGGTGGCGGGTTCGAATTCCGCTGGGGGCATGGATGTCTTTTCTCTCTCTCTGTATTTGTCCTCTTATGTTGGTGTGTGTGAATGTGGTCCATCCTATTAACGAGTATCTGTGACGATAAGTCATGGATAATGTAGCTCGCCTCTGTGAGTCAGGTTCATGGGTGCCCACCGAGCATCGTTAGATGAGCAACACTTCTGGCATCTTCCGTGGCGAGGAACGTATAAGTTTTGTGCCAGCCATTAAAATAAAAAAAATTATATATTTCTTAAAATAAAATTTATTTCATACATAAGCACAGCACAGAGAGGATATTAATATAAATTCTAACTAGGCTTAACAAAACCAATATAGGGTAAACCAACCAGTGAAGGACCACTACCCAGTGAAGGAACATTTCATATATATTGATTTAAAATGAGAATTTGAAAGTTTTTCTTTAGATTGATTAGTAACAATAGCTTACTGCCAAACAATAGGAAGTCATCTATCAATGTTTTGGATTACCTGGTCACATAGACTTCTCTGGAAAAAATTTTTAATTTGTTATTATCTCTGCAACACCTTTGTTTCTTTGAAAAAAATTTAAGGTGAGTGCTTTATATGTTTGAAGTGGAATTAATTGCATGTAATAGTTTTATTTTCTCACTGTGAAAATAAGAATTCACAATATAGTTATTGAAGTTACGTTTTATTTTTTTAAGCATCATAGCATAATCAAGTACTGAGATAAGGGGTGCTTATTCTCTGGATCACCAAACGATTAAAAACCAGTGAAGGAACAAGTGTTACTTTGCTGGCTTTTTTCTAAGTTAATGAAAATGAAAGAAAATCTTTAATTTTCTTGTACTTTTAGTGATGTTTTGCATCAAAAGTTTGTTAATAATACACAAAACATTTTCTAACCAGTGATGGAACAGTCATGTTCCTTTACTGGGCATAGATTTCCCAGTGAGTGAACAATATGCGTTAATATATTGACACTTTACTTTTCAATTCATGATTGCAAAAAAAAGTTAACATTTTCCAAGTATTTGTATGTTATAATTTCAAGAATAGGCTTGTTTTTAGATATTTGTATGGCATATAAATTCATAAAAAGCATAAAAAAGTAACCAAAATTAAGTGTTCCTTTACTGGGAAATTTTGTGTTCCTTCACTGGTAAGAGCTGTTCCTTCACTTGGTCTTCTTACTACTTGTTATTTGAACCTCCAAAACTTTAAAACAATATTATGTAAGTTCTCTACAATTTTTTTGCATAATTTGCAATTAGTAACAAATATGTTGACACTGTCATTTAACTAAAATTACGAATTTTGAAATTAATATGATTTTTTAAAAGGCAAGCGAAGCTTAAGTGTTCCTTCACTGGTTAGTTTACCCTAGATAGAAATTAAATATTATGAAATTATTTAATAGAATTAACAGATTTATCTCAGAGCATAATTATTATTACTGTTCTTCAACTAATAACACATCTCTTTTATAACATTTTACTTATGTGGGACGCTCAAAATCATGCGATGCGAAATCTGTTCGATTGTGAACAAGAAATAGCAATCGTGTGACGGTTTCGAAAAATGTCAGAACCGGGTAAAATTATTCACGAGTAAATGCACCTGATCTAGATGTAATATTTCTCGTTATAGCGTAGCTTTGATTCAACTGCACTTTCCAAAGTGTTTATGAATGCTCGTTTTGGTATTAACTTAAAATAACTCACAATTTTTAGAGTTTTTCTACACCAAATTCGTATAGGTATTACACCATAGATTTTTGCAGAGTAAAGGGACCCAAAAAATGACAGATAAATTGATATACAAAAATTAAAAAAAAAGGAACTGGAAGAGTTGTATTGTTTGCATGTTGTATAGTTCATTTACGTCACCGTAGAGCTGCACAATGGGCTATTGGCGACGGTCTGGGAAACTTCCCTGAGGATGATCCGAAGACATGCCATCACAATTTTGATCCTCTGCAGGAGGGGATTACACCCCCGCTTCGGTAGTCAGAAGTACCTGCACGCGAAGTCGAGCACTTCACGGTAGAACAATTTGACGAGGACCAATACCGCACACCCTCGATCCCTACGAAGACTGATCCAAGTGGTCACCCACCCGCACACTGACCGCAGCCGGTGATGCTTTACTTCAGTGATCTGATGGGAACCGTGTCTGAACGATCAGTCCACTGCGGCACTCATTCAAAATTTAAAAACTAGTACGCCCCAAGTTTCATAATTAGTTACTAATTGTATCAACAGATGGCGCTTTTTAAATTAAAAGAAGTAATAAAACATACATTTTTGACACAAAGATTTATAAAAACCAGGCTATTTACGAAACAGCTAATATAGATCGTATATTCATCTCATATATAGAGAATGGCGTCATAAATAAAAATAAGTATAATATTCTAACAGTGTGATTCTGAGTTAGCAAGGGCTTTGTGAGGAATGACTTATGAAAACTCACCCTTGTCTCCCTTACAGAGAGGCAGATCATTAATAAAATAATAATACATAGAATAATAGTACATAGAATAATAAATGAAGTAAAATATTTACTTCTTAAATCCTATTAGTGTAACCCATCCATTCATAATCTTTGGATCCTGAGTCAGCCACAGTAACAATAAAATGATGAATAATACTAAAACTTGTATCTGTGAATATCTGAAATACGAGATTTCATTTCAAAAGGCATCATTTTTATTATAATACTCATAAAATACAATAACACTTTTTAACGAAAACGAAATCTGAAAACTCATAACTGATGCATTCAGATTTTTGTGAATTAATTAAACGCAGTTGAGTTAAGCAAATAAGCAGTTTGCATACCTAACAAGCTGAGAGCCACGTGTATTTTAAAGGAAATCCCCGTTCCTATTGTAAGAAGCGCTCCTATTGTAAAAAGAACAATGCGAAATGCTCAACTAACAAATTGAAGTGCCACTGCCCGGTATACAGCAATCCGAACACTGGTGTTTCTCCTAATCAATCTTCAGTAGGTATTAAAATAACGAATAAATATAATAAAATCAACGAATAAATTAATATCAAATCGGATATAACAAATATTTCGGACATTCACCAAAACGGCTATGTGATTCTTGACATTCACCGGTGAAAGTCGACATACTCTTGATTTCGATCATTCACGGTATATATATATATATATATATAATAAATAAATAAATACAAGAAAACACTAAGAAACTTTTTATGATCTATTTTTATGTAGTTATTTTATAAAAAAAAAAAAAAAAAAAAAAAAAAAATTTTTTTGAGTGCTCCTCACACTATTGTATTAATATATTTTGCTTTGGCTTTATTGATACAATATCAGAAAGCACTCTGTTTTGCGGATATAATCGTGTGGGCTGAAGAAAAGATTATATCTTTTTTTTCNTTACAGAAAATTTTGTTCGGATACAAATAAATAATAGTTTCATCCAAACTTTGAAACTCGGTCACCTGAGAGCAACCATGCCAGGCATTAAAATATGATTTTTTGTCCACTTTACTATTTCTGGAACGATACAGTAAAAGAAACAATTTCTCTTCTAATACTGTATTCTAGATATTGCCATGATGTCGAAAATTATATTTTATGAACTATATATATATATATATATATATAGTTGGGGAGGCATTTGCGCCTGGTTAACCTAAAAACGGTAAAAGAGGACAATTTTTGTCAATGTTTGTTGTTTTGTTTGAATTTTTGTCATTCCGTTGTACTGTAGAACTACTAAAGCCAAAATCGAATAACAGTACGCGCATTTTATTGAAATGTATTTATTATTCTTGCTTAAGATAAATTTTTTTAAGGAATTTTTTTTCTTTTTTTAAAAAAACTTTTTTTATTTTCAATTGCAAAAATTAATATTTTTCTTCACTTCTTAAATAAAAAAATTTATTCAATTTAAATATTAAAAAGTGGACAAGAATTTCTTTAAGAAAAATAAACTTTTGCATGTGTTGTCTGCATTGGTAAGTCACATTTTAAAACTAATCACGAAAATATTTTTTCATTGAAAAAAAAAAGAAATATTCATGCTGGCTATAAGATTTTACTATGTATCCTTCTGCCATGTAAGGAAAATTCTAGAAGCTTTCAAAGCACCTTTCTGGAAACAATAGTGGGATGCGTTTTGGCGCAAAAATTTCGCCTTTGGTAAAAGAGTGAGCCGTTCAATTTCTGCATTAAATTTAATGCTGATTTTTTTTAAAAATAATTATGCATTCTAAATTAATTCTAGACGTTTTCGTATCTTTTTCATATGAATGCTATCCTATTTAGAGAGAATTGATCTATCTAGCTCAATTAATTAATAATAATATTAATAAACTGAGATAAGATGTAATTAGCTATATAATTTATACTCACGATAAAGATCCTTGTTCCTTGTATCTTTTTGATAAGATTTCAAGCAAATCTTCTTTTAACGAGGCAGCCTGTTTCGAACTTCTAGAAAGTAAAATACATTTCTTAAGTTTAAAAACTCATTATGTTAATACAACGTATTTATTAACTCGCTAGCGTATAAGTGAGTGTGGTATAGTATTTCAAATTTCTTATCATTGTCGTTTTACAATCAAATTTATCGGTAATCGAAATTTCGACCCCATGACAATAAGCACACTCTATGACTATAAGCACTCATTTATGACTATAAGCACTACCCAATTACGTTCCTTAAGAGGATGTAAAAATTTGTATACCTTGCAATTCAAACTTTTTCAACTGTTATTAAATGAATAGAAAAATTATTAAAAGTTATAGATTTACTTAATTCTCAAAATGGGACGAAATATGCAAAAAGTAAAATTATCATTAAGGGGTTTCAACTTTCGAAATCCCAGCACGAATCGGTCAAATAGTTCCTGAGAAAAATATTTAAAATTATGAAGAAAAATTAGTGAAAAATTTGAAACGAAAAATATTTAAAATTTTATACTTTTGAAACAACTCAGTCATTTTCGTTCAAATTTTGCATAACTGCCTTAAAAAATTAACTTCTTTAAAATTGCGCAAAAATTTTTATACTTCCCAATTCAACATTTTTTCGACTATTTGAAATGAATAATTAAAAAGCGTAAAGAAATGATTTTTTGTGTATATCTTTAGATAAACAAATTTTATAATTCTGAGCAAAAATTTTAAATTTGCTTATAAAGTATTTCGAAATATTATCAAAATTTTCAAACATTAAAATTAACATTAAGGGGACTAAGCTTTCGACAGCTCTCCTGACCAAACCATTAAGGCAATATTTCCGAGATTGCTGCTATGCCTCATATTTTGGAAAGTAGGTTTCAAGTCCAACAAAAAAAAAAAAAGTTTATTCAAGGAAAATCCGTTTTTGTATCTGATTTCGAGAAAAAAAATATAATTAGCATGCTTGAGGTCACACCCTCGAACCATTAAAGATTGACCCTTCGTAAGTAAATATCCGAACATTAGATTAAGAGTTCCTTTTTTTGCACTCTTTGCACTGTGCGTCGTTACCTTATGTATAATCTCCATAAAAAGATCCACGCAATGAAAATGCAGACGAGCATTCCAGGAACATTGTACATCATCCATGAGGCAAAATTTATATCATTACTCCCAGGAAAATACCTGCAGGAAAAGAAACAAATATTAACAAATAATAAACAAAAAAAATTTAAAATTTACCTTCAGAGTTTATAAGAGAAACATTTATTTGAGTACATATCTCTTGATTTTATTCTACTACCGTCAAATTGTTCCACAGTGGTCGAATTCATAAATTCTTACTTTTTTTATGGATAGTAGGCAGTCGAAGATTATCGTAAATTTTATTTATTTTCCTTATCGGTTTTTTTTCCTCCTTAGGGAGGGAGGGGCTACTCTATTCGTGCAATATAATATCCGCGAATCATTCTAACATCGGATTGCAAAGAAGATCAAAATGTTAGAAAAGGTAAACGAACATGGCACCCTCAATGCTCAATAAATTTGTTGATGGTAAAAAATAAGAGAATAATTAAACTGATCCTTGAATCCAGATTTACCAGATCAACATACGTTATTTAGAACAGACTTTATGTTGATCTAAATGAAGTAATTTTTACTCTATCTACCCTGTAGGCTTGGGTTTCACAAATCGGAGGCTACATTATCAAGAACTTTCGTGAATCTCAACGTCAAAAGTCAGGGCAACTATAGTTAGTTCACCAGGAGTTGGCACGTGGCTCCACCTCCTCGGACGCAGAGTTCATTTCAGCGCGGGAGTGAGAAGAGAAACATCTCCACGCTTGACATTGGGACAACCCTTAATGCGAGACAAACACAAACAGTGACTTTTTTTTCAGTCCCTTACTTCGCGTAATCTTCTGCTATTATACCTTTCGTTTCTGTAGCTAATTAAATATATTTGAAATTTAAAAACTGCTTTTTTCCCAACAAAATGTCTCAAAAAGGACAAACTATTCACTCAAAAGAGAGAAATATCATAAAACAATAGCATGAAATATCATCAAATTTATGAATTATTCAATATTTAAGAAATGCAGATAAAGTTTGCGAAATAAATATTTTTGCCAAACTATCGCCAAATAGCAAACTTGTTCAGGATTGCTCACAACCTTCTCTCAAAAATCGCGAAATAATATCGTCGCATACCACGTGATGAAGGCGGAGCCAAGTGCCAACACCTGGTGAACGAGCTGTACCTTACACCGAGGAGTGGAAGCACCACAGATAAATCTTGGTTTTTACTACACCAAGGATAGTCCCTGGTGTTGGTGAAGCGACAAGAAATCTTCTTTCACATTACTTTGTGTCAAATAACTGACCTTCTTTTTAACAACTCAGTAACATTAAAATTTGTAATTGCAGTAAGATATGATAAACACAAGAGTCGTTTGAGTCATTTTTACAACACAATATTAAATAAGAATCATTTACTTACGATGAATATATAATGAATATTAGAATAATTCTTAAAATGAAATTGGTTTTTGATCAAACATACACACAGCACTGAGAGCATACTCAGCTGAATTCAAATAAGGTTTCAAATAAGATTATGAAGGGGAAATTTAACTGCTTTTGCCAGTTATGTACTTGATCATTTAGATCACCTTAAACAGGACATCAACTTACAGAGGTTTGCCAACTTCACAAATTTCACTATCTTTGTAAAAAAAAAAAAAAAGCATAGTGTGATCTGAAGACATAATTAACCGACGAAATTACAAATAATTCAGTCTGAATTCTTATCCGGTCTAATATATTCCAGAAAAAAACATAATTAACCGACGAAATTACAAATAATTCAGTCTGAATTCTTATCCGATCTAATATATTGCTGAAAGCATCTTTTTTGATGAACTTTAAAACTAGTTTTAGAGAGAATAATTGAATTAGTTTCCTAAGCAGAACACAGAAAAATGTATGTTTTTATCTTTTTCCATTTTTATAGATTTTTTTTTAAATTTCTGGTTGTTTACGGGTCACCTAGAATATCTCTTACTCTTCCATTAATCCTTTTAATAGAAAATTTGCTCCGGTTCCAGTCAACGTTCCTGTTCCACCAATATTTGCTGAATAGCAGATACTAAGAAAAAAAGCAGTTCTTATCTGTGATTTGCTCTGAGACGAGAATCTAAAAAATCAATATAAACCTTTAGGCATACAGAAATTCTAAAATATACACATATTTTCAAAATATACAAAAATGCTGAATATTTACGAAAAATCAATGAAATTTTGTTGCAAAAAAATTGGAAGCATATCTTTTTTTTAAATAATATTTTGAATAAAAGATTGGACTAAATATTATTAATTTTCTAATTTTTCATTATTTTTAATTTGATTTTTTTGTTGACCGGCCTGAGTAGGGGTGAAGGAACTGGCCTTGCATCAGAAAGGTTCTGGGTTCGGATCCCAGCCAAGGCATGGATGTTCCTTCATTCTTTGTACTCTCTGTCCTTATTGTGGGAGCAACGTTGGCCCACTTAACATGGCGCCCCTGAAAAAGTGGCCCATAAATCTGCCGTTCAGATGCTTATATGACGAAGTCATTCCCCAGGCGAGCATTGGAAAAAAAAATTGGGCTTTTATGATTATTTCATGCGCCAAAAATATTTTTAATTTATAAATTACATCAAATGTAGTTCATTGAAATTTCAGTACTTTCTCAGTCATATGAAATATTTACTCAAAATAAATATTTATTCAAAATAAAAACAACATTGGCTTGAAATACTGCAGTAGAATTAAAAGCATATCGTCGCTTTGAAATTAAACCGTTGTAGCTCCAAAAAAATGAGATTTTTGGGTTATTATGTGTAAAAAAAGTCACCCTCTTAGAAAAACAACCTTTATAGTTCCATAAAGTTAATTTAGAGAGCAGATAAATCGTCATCGCATTCCCGCGATTAGCATTAGCGCGGAAAGTCTGAAATCGCTCTCCTGAAAAACTTGCTTTTTTGAGTTACCACGGTTTAGTTTCAAAGCGACGTTATATTAAAATTGCTCGACATTTCAATTTGTTGTAAAATTTCTCTCTTTATTCGAGTATTGTAATAGTCATGTTTTGGGTGTTCTACTTTACATTATACATTATATCAACTTCACATTTATATATTATATAGATTTTATTTTATTGAATCAAAGCTGTACTTGAGATGTTGCCAGATCTAAATTTTAACATTCCCATTAAAACTTTTAAAAATATAAAAGACTCAGAAGAGGTAAGACTATTTCAAATTTCTAACTATTATACGATTATTAGGTTATCGTTATACACAATGTTAACACGTTGCTACCACGCTAATTTTACGTGGCTTGCCCGTCTTGCAAATTAATTTCTTCAAACCATTTTAGTAACGATAATTTAAAAAATTAAAAACATTGAAAATTTACTCGAATTATGTTTTTTTAATAATCTTGGTTTCGACAGTCCCCGGTGACCCCCCGGGGTGATAGGAACAATCTCAGTACCGGTCACCGGTGACCCCCATGGCATTCAACGAGTTAACAATCAAAATTAATTCTCATTTATTGTTTCAATTTCTTATTGTATTGTATTAATTGTACTGTGTCGCACATTCTGTTTTCCTAATTTTTTGTAAGTACATTTGATTATTTTTAAATTTCAGGTAATCATTCATTTCGTTACGATTAACATATTAACAAATTATACTCCCTTAAAATTATGTTAATTATATATTTTATAAACAAAATTATCCGTCTTTTTTTTTAAATATTGATTTTTTGATTAAAAAATGATAATTGCGAAATAACCGCGAATGTTAGTGAGCAAAAGACTACCTCCTAGAATGTATAAAATCATTTCTGGTCACTTACTCATCTCTGGAAATTCGATCATCTTCGGGATCTTCAATATTTTTACTTTCTGTCACAGATATCTCTGATATAGCTATAAAAAAAACATTCATAATTCTTGCATAAGAAAATTCGCCGAATTTAATATAGAATATGGAATAGAATTCTATTAATAGAGAGATTCTATGGAAAATTCTAGAGTTATATGGCATTCCCAAAAGTTTATAAATGTCATTAACGAACTCTACAGAAATTTAAAGTGTTGTGTTGAGGTCAATGGATGCCTGACAGAACCTTTTACCAATGAGACTGGGGTCAAACAGGGACGTATGATGTCAGGGTTATTGTTCATAATTATAACTTATTGGATGATGAAAAATACAATCCAAGATTTAAAATAAAAACACTACAACATTGGAGAACCTGGATTTTGTAGAAGACATTGTTTTATTTGCCAGCAAAATTGATGATCCGCAATCCAAAATAATTATTTTTTAAAAATATGCAGGAAATGTTTGGTTGAAAATTTAAAAAGAAAATAAAACCAAAACTACGAGAATAAATAGCAAGACTCAGAGTGTAGTTAAAATTGCAAGAGGCGAAATAGAAGATGTTGAAAAATCTACTTGCAACTGTTGGTGCAACATTGGTGCAACTGTTAATACGAAGGGAAAAACAAATGCAGAAGTAAGAGCAAGAATTTCAAACGCACAATTTTTGTTTCAAAAAGCTTTTTAGCTTAATGCTAAAGACTAAAATTAGCATGTTTAATTCAATGGTAAGGAATGCACTGTTGCAATTGTCAGGAACATGGAAACTATGAAAACTACAGAATACAAAACTAAATAGCTGGCAAAACAGATGCTTGAGAAATATTCTAAATCTATTTTGGCCTCAGACCATATCAAATTCAGAACTCTACAGTAAAACCAGGCAAGAATCAATCACCATCAGTATGAAAAGAAAAAGACATGGAAATGGATAGGACACATATTGAGAATGCCTCATATCAGAATACCATCAGTAGCCTTAACGTAGGCACCAAAAGGCAAATGAAAAAGAGGCAGACCCATAAAGAAAGAAGACAGGAGGAATAGACGAGCTGGTCCGTGGCGAGGTCTTGTGAAAAAGACCGAGTGAACTGACGCAGGAAGATAAGGGTCTTATGTGCCGCTGGGCTCGGAGCTGGATAAGTAAGTAACTAATGATTATTATAATAAATAAGTAATAGTTATAAATAAAAAAACGGTTGGTCCGTCCCAATAGTTGTGTTACGAGAGCGGCCAATATATACAGTAATATATATGCTTTATAAGCGAATTGCAAAATGTTTGCATACAATTATATAATTTGTTCATCTAAAGATACGTCCCGCAGTGGACTGATCGTTAAGACACGGTTCCCAGGTTGCACCGAAGTCAAGCATCACTGGCTACGGTCAGTGTGCGGGTGGGTGACCACTTGGATCAGCCTGCGTAGGGACCGAGGGTGTGCGGTATTGGTCCTCGTTAAACTGTGCCACCGTAAAGTGCTCGACTTAGCGCGCAGGTCGTCGGGCTACCGAAGCTGGGGTGCCATCCCCTCCGCAGAGGATCAAAATTGTGATGGCATGTCTTCGGATCATCCTCCGGGATGTTTCCCAGACCGTCGCCAATAGCCCATTGTGCAGCTTTAGGGTGACGTAAATTAACAACAACAACAAAATCATCTAAAGATACACACAAAAACCCCTCAATGTTAATTTTACATTTTGCTTATTTCGCCATATGTGACTTTTTAAGCAAACTGAAAAATTTTTACCCTCAATTATAAACTTTGGTTATCCAAGGATAATCCCATACAAAATATAACTTTTAGTAAACTTTTATCATTTTTTATTATTTTAGATAATACGAGTAACAGTCGAAATATTTTGAATTGTAAGGTATACAAATTTCTACATTATTTTAAAGAATGCAATTTTACATGGCAAAATACAAAATTTGTGCGAAATTGGGTGAATAATTCCAGAGAAAGCAAATTTTAAAAATACGATTTTTTTCAAAATTCGCTTTAGTATCGTTAGGAATTCAAATTCACAGACATATCTTTCTTAATTCTGCTTTCATATACCTCAGGCTCGAATACCGACGCTGACTGGTCGATTCTCATACTATTACTTATTATGCATATCATACTATTACTTGCCGACCGGCCTGTGTAGAGGGAAGGGAACTGTCCTTGCATCAGAAAGGTCCTGGGTTCGAATCCCGGGCAAGACATGGATGTTTCTTTCTCTCTGTGTGTTCTATGTCCTTTCTCCTTTGTGTGTGAATGTGACCTGCCCTATAAATGGGTTGTGGTTGTGTGAATGGCGTGGCAGAAGTCGAATTCCTGGCCATAGATGGCGCCACTGAAAAACAGGAACAATCGCATCCCGACTGCCTAAACAGGCTTACGAAAAAATAAAATAAAAAATCTATTACTTATCGTACTATTACTTATACCGACCACAAAACCTTAAATATTTTCAGTGAAAATGGATCATGGATTTAGAGTCCGCTTCATAGTAGACTTGACAAGGGAAGTTTAAGTTGGCATTTTATACATGCAACGTAAACGGGTTAAAAAGAAAGAAAAAAAACTCCTTTACGATTGTTGTGCTTGGTTCTGCGTTATTTCTCGGCTGCTGACGATATTTGCTGTTAAGTGCCTGACTTGTGAAATAAAATAAAAAATTAAAACTTACGTGCTGCTTTTCCCTGCTCTTCATTTCTGTTTGTAGATGCGCTAATTTTCTGCAATAAAGCTTCTACTATAGGAATCATTATGGCTGTTGCAGCAGTATTAATAATCCACATTGATAGGAACATCGTAGAGAGCATTACACCGAGAAGAAGCCTGCAAAATATTCATAGTTGGGTACCTACTCGCAATGTCACGCGTGGGTGTCGAACATGATTGGCTGCTGAGTCGTGGCATTTGTTTATATCACGATTCAGCAACCAATCAGGTTCGACATTTACGCTTGACGTCGCTTGCAGACATTCAAATTGATTTAGTACGATAATAAACCAAGCCAAATAACTGCACCGTCAATCACAACCAGTTGATTTCATGCGCTTTCGGCTTATTTCGAATACAGATTTTTTCTGTACCAAGTACCTGTCTAATATTTAAATTCTAAATTCTTCAAATATTTAAAAATACACTCTATAACAAAAAAATCGACGCACCAAGAACGCACTAAGACGCGCAAAATTGACGCTCGATCAGGCTGGAATGATACCGACTGCTTTAGCTATGAATCCCGCTTTCAACTGTGTCCTGATGATCATCAAAGACGTGTTTGGAGACGCACAGGGCAGAGGGGGGATCCTGCCTTCACTATTGCACGCCACACCGGCCCTCAACAAGGCATTATGGTCTGGGGTGCCATTTCCTTTGACAGCCGGACCCCTTTGGTCGTCATTAGAGGTACACTTACTGCACAGCGGTACGTCGACGACATCCTAAGACCTGTTTTGCTACCGTTCCTTTTGCAGCGCCCTGGGCTGGTTTTTCAGCAGGACAATGCCAGACCACATACGGCACGTGTTGCTATGAACTGTCTGCAAGCTTGTCAAACTCTTCCTTGGCCTGCCAGATCACCAGATCTCTCTCCCATCCAGCATGTCTGGGATATGATGGGAAGGCGATTGCATCAGGCACGGAATGTTGATAACCTCGTTCGACAATTGGATCGAATTTGGCAGGAAATACCGCAAGAGACCATCCGGGAGCTTTATCGGTCTATGCCACGCCGTGTGGCAGCTTGTATCCTGGCTAGAGGCGGGTCAGTACCCTATTGAACTTGTTACTGTAACTCTGCAATAAATTATTCAATTGTTCTGAAATTTTAATCGTTTACTATTCTGTACATTGTCTTCCAATCTACCAATTTTCGTTTCAATCGGACAACTCCTGCTTGGTGCGTCGATTTTTTTTGTTATAGAGTGTATATTACGCAAATAAATATAAATAACAATAAAATATATTTATATTAAGCATTTAAGCATATATCAAAAAGTATACCGATAAGGTTTTGCGAAAACCTAACTAAAATCTTCAACGAGATGAGACAGTTGAAATCGCAAAAGAAGAAAAAAAAAGAAAATAGAAACAAAAATATATAAATATATGTATTTAGTAAAAAAGTTTACTGAGTATAGATCGGTGGTTCAAATTAATTAACGAAACACGCTATTTTAAAAACAAAACGAACTTTAATAGATTATAATATGAAAATAGCCAGTATTATAAGGGCTGACATTTCCCCTTCAACATTCATCAAATCATGAGATCATAATGATACTCACAAAGAAAAACATGTAGTATTTGAATTAATGGAAGAGCGCCATCTGGTGGCATTCCGCGACATATAGAACGTACGGCTCATTCATTGAGAGATAGTTATTTACTTCCAATAGGGACAAGTGGGATAATTGCGGGATTTGAACACGCAGCCATTTGCTTCGAAGTCAAGCACGCTAACCACTCGGCCACCTGGCCGGCCGACCTAAAAACTGTCAGGTTTAATCAAGATGTTCATTGTTTAGTTGTGTTCAATACATCATTCCTAAAAGTCCTAGTTGCTCTACTTTATTTTATGAGAGATTTTTTCTAGAGAAAAACAAATCACTCTCTCTTGCCCCTTCAGTGGGTAATGCCAGGTGCACATGTAAACTCTATGGAAAAATTATAAATACTAGAATTCTAGTGAGAATGCAGCAGACATTTCTATTTTACCGCATAGTTTAAGAAAATTAGGCTTGCAGTTTACATGTGATGTAGTCAAAGCCCTACTCAAGAGACAGAGCCCGATCAAAATTCCTTACAAAAAAAAATATAGCGTTAAAGAGGTAATTTTGAACCCTATCCAGAAGACAAGGGAACTCCAGGATTCAGTATTGGGAGAAATTTGCCTTCGTAGAGGACTTTTTGATAAGACTAACCCGCATTTGCATTACATAGTGAGGAAGAGCAAGGAAAACTTCCCACTGTTAGTCTAACGGCAAGAGAACTCTAACCCATGATCCATCTACAGAGGATATCTTACGCCAGCAACGTGGTCGGTGCGGAATTCGTATCGACCGGCCATCGTTGGAATTCGAACCAGTTTCACCTCATTGGAAGGCGCATACTCTATCCCGAGGCATCACGACTCGCAATGTAAAAATGACTAAAAAAGGCCGCAAATTATAAAAATGATGCTTTTTACGCTTTAAGTAATAAGTTTTGTTATAGGCCCAACAAAACTGTTGTTCAGCCTTGGATGTAGTTATTTCCTTTCTTTGCTGCTCTGCAGATTTTGATCGCCCGTAAGGGTAGCATCCAGTTTTACCCCCGAGAGCAGAGGAACGAAACAGAATGTTCCTTATTGTTTGTTGGAGTATGAATCTTTTGTATGGTATAGTAATAGTAATATAGTAATATATGTACAGTTGAACTCGTTTATAACGAGCTCGGATTTAACGAGAACTCGGATTTACCGAGGGAAACGAGAATATTTGGTTGGATCAATGTTAAGTCTATGGAACAGAAGTCGCTTTTAACGAGCAAGACCCGGTTTTAGCGAGCAATATTTTTCTGTCTTGCAATCTTTTTTCTCATCTTTCTAGTCTTTCTGTCTTATCTTTTTTTCAAAATAATAAAGAAATGCGAGGGAAGGGGTTAGTTGTCATTAAGTTAAGAAAAGTATTTAATTAAATTAATTAATGTAATTAAAGTAAGTAAGTATTAATTAAATTTTAAGTAAACTCAATCATTTGACCCCCACCCTCTCCTGGTTGCACGCCTGTCTTAAGGACCCGTTTATTACGAGCACTCGGATTTAACGAGTACATGTTACGGTCCCTTTGTGCTCGTTACAAACGAGTTCGACTGTATATAATAGTACAAAAATAGTATAACAATAATTATAATAAGCTGGACTAAAAATAAGTTTTATAACTGTAATGACCATAACACAAGGCTAGTTTAAAAACAAGAAAAACATTAAAGAGTTGGCATAATAAAACATACTTATCCTCACAGTCGCCGTGAATTTATCAACAAAAACAGGCTAATATGGTTGGTCATTCTTCTTGACTAGTAAAATCTAAATCAGAGTTTATCCACTAGAAAGCAGAACTGTCACAAATTCAACAGGAACCCGATCTCTACATTTTAATTTAAACTTACCATTTCAATTCAGTGCCAAGTAACAATAGAATCTTGAGGGCAATTCTTTCGTGTAATTTACTCTCCTCAACAGCCACAGCCGTGATTAAACTTCCGAGAATCAGCATAATTATTTCCTTTCAATAAAAGAAATAAAAAAGCAATCAATTTTTTCGAAAATTATTTTCCAGTTTGTACACATTAAGATTGTTACGGTCCCGCTGTGGACTGATAGTAAAGACACGTTTCTCAGTAGAACACCGAAGTCAAGCAGGGTGGCTGACCACTTCGAACAGCCTGCGTACGGACCGAGGGTGAGCAGTACCAGTCCATGTTAAACTGTTCTATCGTAAAGTGCTCGACTTCGCGCCGGTGATCGGGCTACCAAAGACGGGGGAGCCATCCCCTCTGCAGCGGATCAAAATTGTGAAGGCATGTCCTCGAATCATCCTCAGGGATGTTTCCCAGACAGTCGCCAATAGCCCCTTGGGCAGCTCTAGTGGGACATCAATAAAGTACCTACCTACTTAATACTGTTACTCATGAATGTTGGGTTTGGTGTTTTTGGGTATTGGGCTGTTCCAACATCCTAAAATGGAAACATATAGGTAGCAGATTCATATCCCACCATAACTCTGGATGCATTTCTTTATTTCTATTTATTTATAGTTGCGCACACATAAGCAGGCTCACAAGATATAAAAAAAAGATAACATAAACATACATTTTGGGAATTTCGAACCTGCTACATATGAATATGAGGAACATATGAGCTACATATGAGGAATTACGAACCTGCTTTATAATGGAGAATTTTTGCTATGTCTTTCTCTAGTTTGAGCAATGCATTCAATGTGACAAGAGATTATAATAAATTATACTTTGTAATCAGTACACTAGCTTGCATTTGTATGATCAACAATAAATAAATAAATCTTTTCTTGGAATGTTTTTTAATGTTTCATTAACTATTTCTTACTGCAGTCTCGTCTATCCGCCAAACGCTTAAAGGAAGGACAACACCCTGTGGCAATGAAAGCCCCAATAATACATATATTATTATTTTACTGGCAACTGTCCCTGCCGTATTGATGTTCCACTAACCACTTCGAAGCTTAGATACAGTGAGTTCGAATCCCGCCATAACACTTTATGTATATTCTTGCTATCGTTCGTAAAATTGTGCTGTTTGTTTTTCAAACTGAAAGGAGTTTGTAGACTTTTTTTGTATTTGCAGAGAAACCTACAAATGTATGTAAATAAATACATAAATCCCACTACTCTCTTAAAAGATGAATAAAGCATTCACCATAATTTGAGATATCTGAATTGAATATTTTTAAAACTTTTTAATTAAACACTTAAAGCCATCATTTATGACCCCTTAACTCTTGTTTTCGTTAAAATAAGAAATAATTAACTCTCATCTAACTCTCATCAACCATTTAAATAAATCGCCATTTTAGTTCAACCATAGAAAGGTGAACAGATTGTTATCATTCTATTTGGTTAGAGGCATATACATCGAAAGGTTTAGTTTACCAAATAAATGGTAACATAAATGACAGTTCTGAATAACATTTTGGTAATTTTATCGTGATTCCTTAGAGCATGGTGTAAAACAGTTATTTGGTTACATTAACTTTTCAATTTTGTATGTGTTACTGAACTATAGTAATAATTCTACAATTTTGAAACTATAGTTTTGCGTAAACCGTTACCATAAAGATTTGTGAAATTACTAAATAGATGGTTTAAATTCCATATATTTAGTTATCAGAATTATGGTTTCATTTACCATAAATGTCTTTACCATACAAGTATGGTAATTTTGCCAGATTTTTTTCTCTCCTTGTTTATTGAATTACGCAACATCATAGTTAAGAATCCAGCTTTTAATTATATTATTTCTTTTGAATAACGAAATCAAATGATATTCCAATTCAAAAAAAATATTCGTTAAAAATGTTTAACATTTCCTCATATTTAGAGCTATAATTGACCTTCGAATCATCGTCTTTGAAAGTCAATGGGAAAATATATTGCGTAGAATTCAATATCCAATTTACTTTCTCCAAATTATAGCGCAGTTTTAAACTGGGGCCTTATTTAAATTTTCATTAATAAGAAAAATAAATTGATATAAATTAAGTTAAGTAAATTACATCCGTTTTCCAAAATAAATTTCTTTAAATTTTCCTAGGTACACAAGGATAGATTTCTTTTTTAACGTACCTATTTTTTTTAATAGTAATATGATTTTTTTTTTGGACGGACAAATCACAAATAGAGTTATCACTAAATAACATTCCTAAAGTCCTATTAGTATTACAACAATGAGCTTTTCATTCTGAATACAGTTCGAAGAAAACAATATTTAATAAAATTTAGGCAGTTTCAAATGTGTGTTTAAGAAAATGAAAGCAGTTTTAAATGATAGTTTAGAAAAGTGAACGCAGTCTCAAATGCGTGTTTAAGAAAATATATACAGTTTCAAATGCGTGTTTAAGAGAACTGACGAAGTTTCAAATGCGTGTTGGAATGTATATAACATTGAAAATGGGTATAACATTTCATTTCATTCTTCAAACGTCTCTTATAAAAATTGTTCCCTTTTTAAATAATAAAAAATACAATCCAAATAAATTCGTCATATAATGTTACCCATTGGCCTAAATTACTTAATATATATATATTTTTTAAATTAGTCTCTTTTGAAAAGATATTAATAATCAAAAGTTCTGTTTGCAAGGATTTTACCGGTGTGGACGCTACTAGGAGGCTAGGGCCCGCTAAGCATGTCACTATGCATTCCATTCTATTTATCTCTTTTTGCCTTGTTTTTCTTGTTATTTTATCTTTTTTGTTCTTTTAAATTGACCTGCCATTGGAAATAAAAAAAATCAAAAAATTTTAAAAAAAGGTTTTTACCGAACCTATGAATTCATTTCAGTCGTATTAGTTTGACGTTATTCTATTTTAAATTTTTTAAAACCGCTTAATCGTTTAGAGTTCTGAATACTATATCCAACCACTCCGACCCTGAAGTTAGGGATTTTGTCCCATTATGATCCTGATCACTCTTTAAGAAAGTAAGGAAAAGGAAGATTAAATTCCTCATTCAGTTGTTACATTTTGGTTGGACATTGAAAAGAGGCATTTTGAGCTGTGCCCATTTCCTTAAACACGCATTTCCGTCTGGGTTCATTTTTTTTTAAAAAGCTCATTTTAGAATACAAAGCTCACCGCTGATTAAATTAAGCAGAACTTATAATGAATATGCTATATTAAAGCTATCAAAGTCTGCTATTACCTTCATATAATTGGCAGTTACTTCTGACGAACTTAAAATACCTAATACGGGCAATAAAATCACGGGTAAGAGTGCAGTAACAGGAATCGGTACCGGTTCCAGAATCCAATAACAAGCAGTAAGTATCAAAGCATAAGAGCATCTTAGTTCCTAAAACAGGAAGAAGAAAAAATACGTCAAATAAAGACTTTTCATAAGGGTGACAAAAAATAACGTAGGCAAAGTCTTAAACTAAATTTCTTATTATTTTTCTTCAATTCATTAATTGTTTTTCTTTCAACATATGGCAAATTCATTTTGAAAGATGGTATGCATCATGGATCCCAAAAGCTCCAAGGAAACCAACAGGATTATGCTCCAGCACACAAGGTTAATGGCATTCAACAATAGTGCAGGAGCGCATGAATACCCTACAACACTAGAATGGCCACCTGATTCACCAGATTACATTTTTTTTTAATCGCTCTTCATTGATCTCAACTACACGACCAGAACAAGGAGCATCCAAATTTCCCTTTTTGAGCTTGGTATACTAATGAACTTCTCCCTACACAACATAAATGTCACGAGCAGCTTTTGTAACCTTTAAACCTTGATTGAACGCAAAAAAAAAGAAAGAGCTGAAAATACTAGTTTTCTTCAAATGGACATTTCCTTTTAACAATCTGAAAGCTAACATGAATTAACTCGAACAGAAAAACAAAACAAAGATTCTGGTATGGCTCAGAGGATGGAGTATTTGCCTTCCAATGAGGGGAACCGGGTTCGAATCCCAGCGATAGCTAGTTGATCTGAATTCCACATCCAACTTGCACCGACCACAGTTCTGACGTAAAATATCCTCATTGGTAGACCTATCATGGGTTAGAGTCCCCTTGCCGTCAGGCTAACCATGGGTGGTTTTCCACTCCACGTAACGCAAATGCGGGTTAGTTCTATCAAAAAGTCCTTCACGAAAGCAAATTTCTCCCAATACTTGATCCAAGATTTCCCTTGTCTTCGGAATTGGGTTGAAAATTACAAGACTGCGGAGTTGAACATTAGTAGTCGTAAATCCGAAAATTGGGGCGGCTGTTCAACGACTGTTATAAAATTTAAAAAAAATATTCTGTTAAAACATAAAATATCCATTGAATAGTTTAAGACAATACGCCAAAAACATTTAATAATATGCTGAATGTAAAAATTAAAATATATGTTAAGAACTCAGTCGTCAATTGAATAACTAATAGAAGAGCACAGTAACTTTAACTACGCTGGCCAACCCACCTACTTCTCTTTGTTGCTAATGGCAATTTGTTTTGCATTTAACTTACTTATTAATTAGCATATTCATATTACTTTGCATGGGAAATACTTTGTTTTCAGTTTTCTACAAACATTTTTATACTTCTGTTTATAACATTTTATATTTCATTAACTATTATCAAATCAATACACAATTTATTTAATGGTTTAAGCAAGCTCTCATTTGTAACGGCTTCGAAGCAACTCTAATTAATCAATTCAGTCAATTTCAATCCACCTCGATTCATGCATTACATATTCGGATAAAGACATTAATTCTGCAGCCTTATAACGCTGAATAATAAACTGAATTATCAATACTAAACCCACTTAAATGTAAGCAAGAAATATTTTAAATACCTTCTACATTTTATTCACTTAATTAATAAGTATAACTAAACAAAAGCAGTATCACAAGCTAATGTTTTCTGTTTTGGGTTACATGATTTATTCATTTATTTATTTTTCAGTTTTTTTATGTTAATTTTTCTCAGATATGTATGTTTAACCTTCATAATTTCACGGACTGCGATAAATAAATAGATTTTATCGACAATCGAAATTATGACTAACAGGAGTGCTTAAATCTTGTCTGTCGTGCAATAGAAAAATCAACGTAAATGATCGAAAATTTAAAAATTGAGTTTTTTATTATTTTTATTAGGCACTTTTGTAATATAAGCTACACATCGCTGAGAAAATTTAATAAAAATTTAAGTTAGCACTTCCCTGAAATTCTACTTTAGCTTAGCAATAGAAAAAATATAGTTTTCAAGCCACTTTATCATAAAGCAATTGCGGTATTTTTTCCATCAAACGGTAGTGATGACAGAACAAGTTTCTAATCTTTCATGGCTGCTACAAGCGTGATTTCTATCACCGTTTAATCATCAAATTTATTAATCGTCAAAATTTTGACCTTTTCATGACTAGCTCGAGTGCTCAGATTTCAACTGGATCGCTTTGCTTATTGACAATACTAATTACAATTTCCCTAATGTATCACTCATTAAAATTTCGACTTGATTTTCGACCGTACACTAAGAAGAAATAATAGTAGTCTGATATATAAATTTTAAAAACTATGTTTCTCAATTACAGAAAGAGGAAATAATTTGATCTTTGTTAAACGAAAAAAGAATAACGTAAGAAAATCACTTACATAATAAACTTCTCTCACCACTTAAATTTGCAATAATTTCGAAACATAATTCACCAATTCACAAATAAGACTGTTTCAACACGTCAAATTTTAATTCCGTAGCTGCATTTCAACGGGCTACAGATCAACCGAACATGGTATTTTTTTACGAGTATAACAGTTTACTCGAACTAATTTATGAACAATCTTGACCAAACTGTGGAATGTTAGTTTTTTCACATCGTATTCTCTGTACTTTTTATACTACTCAACGTAATTTCAAATTTTTCAATGTTATAGCTTTTGTGAAGAAAAACGTTAAGAAAAAGTTAGCGAGAAAAGCAATTAAAATTGCAAAAATTTCAAACTAATTTCAATTTAAAAAAAACGTTCATGTTAAGTTCATAAACCAAACTGGCCTTTAAGAACTTCAAATTAAAACTCCGTAGTTGCATTCCTGTGGTATGAAGAGAGGCCCGTATGATATTTTTTACGTCTAACTTAGCAGTTTATAATTCGAACTAATTAGCAAATATTTATTTTTTATTCCATCGTGGTTCCGGTACATTTTTCTGCAATCCACCGTAATCCTCCGTAAAGTTATGCAGTTTTGCCGCAGCAAAGCAAAATGTAACATTTAAACTTCTTTTGATCAAACTCAACTGTCGAAGAGCTGGAGGTAAAATTTGAAATATGTTTTTAAGCACTCCTCATCTAAATTTCTGATTGTGGATTTTTATTCCATTCGTCAGTATCTTTTGATACATGAAAAATACAAAATTACAAGTACAATATTTTGATACATAGTCATCACCAAATCAGAATTTGAGATATAAAGCATAGGATATTTTAAAATCCTTTTTTTTTCCAAAACAGCCTAGAAATCTCCAGTTTTTGAAAGGTTGTTAAACGGCTTACATTTGTCTGTTTTTAGATTGTTGAAAAATATCTTTGTTTTTGCGCAATTAAGAAATTTTTAGTATCGACGTACATCGGTTTAAACTGTAATAAAATTAAATTTTAGAAAATCTAAAAACTGATAAGAAATGTAGTTTTAAATTACTGACACATAACCCCAAATCGCATATTTTTGTTGCTTTAAAGTTTTGAGGAAAATTCCATAGAAATTGCAAAACATTATCAATCACCATTTCTCCTTATCTAATAAAGCAACCATTTTATCTTCCATATTTTTTTAAGTATATAATATACAATTTTAAAGTATCTATAATACATAAATTCCAATAATATAATCAATCATCATGAATTTATTAGAGACAAAAAAAATTATTACCTCCATTTTTGCGCGAATCAAAATTTAAACCTAAAATTCTAAATAGGGAGGGTAGAGGTTTCTTAAGTTTGACCCCTAAAACAGCGACGTCAGCTCTTTAATATTTGAGATTTTATAACCGACCAAACAGTTGACCGAATTCTAAGCTTACGACAACCGTTGTTCAACTTCGTAGTCTAGTAATTTTGAACCCAATCCAGAAGATTAATGAACTCCAGTATCAAGCATTGGTACAAACTATAGCCTTCATGGAGGATTTTTTGATGAACTAACTAGAATTTGGGTTACATGGTGAAGAAAACCACGAAAACCATCTACGGTTAGCCTGACTTTAACCCCTATCACTGAGTATATTTTACACCAACATTTTTGTTGGTGTGAGCCGGGTGCAGAATTCTTATTGACCAAACACAGCTGAGATTCGAACCTTGGGCACCCCATTAGGAGGCGAGCTCTCCATCTCCTGAGCCACCACAGTTCATTATAGAGAGATTCTATATTTTATAATTTTTATAACCGTCATTGAACAGCCGACCCAAATTTCGGGTTTACGACTACTAATATTCAACTACGCAGCTTTGTAATTTTGAACCCAATCCAGAAGACAAGGGAACTCCTGGATAAAGTATTGGGATAAATTTGCCTTATTGGAGGACTTTTTAATCAAAATGACCCGCAGTTGCGTTGCATAGAGAGGAAGACTGCGAGAACCTCCCACTGTTAGCCTGACGACAAAGGGACTCTGACCCATGATCCGTCTACCACTCAGCTGATTCGTATCGACCAGCCATTGTCGAACCCGGTTCACCTCATTGGAAGGCGAACGCTCTATCCCCTGAGCCATTGCTGCTCAATATAGAGAGATAATAAGAGTTTCATTTTAAAAATGGAAATGTATCAAAGATGTACGTACCTTTGATGGTGATAGCGCTAAAGGCAATAAAACAAAAGGCAAAATGAGAGACACTATAAAAAAACAAACTTTTTTATCAAAATGTGTCAACATTTTCTTCCAAGTTTTCATGTCCGCTATGAATTAAAATCCCTAATGACTAAAAATGATCTATAATGGCGTCAAATATTACATATAATCAGATAAAATTTCACATAATGTAGATGTTTTCTTCCACATACGAGGAAGAATGCGGACAAGTTGTTTTTCTAAAATCTTTTGTTCTTCGTGTCAATTTTGGCAACATAAATTTAGAATAAAAGCTTAAGGAAGATTTCATCGAATGATTTAAGAAGTTCCTAAAATATATCTTTATCGCGGTAGTCATTGTATTTGGATTATATTTATGAAGAGAACAACAAATGGTCAATAAGTATATCCAATTATACTTAATTATGTCTTTTTTGTCTGTATAAATTGATTTGTAAAAATGTATTGATGTAGATTTACGGTAATCAATGAAATATTATCCAATTGTTTTTTCATTCAAAATATGAAATCCTTAAAAGTAAGCACAATAGACTGTTAATAATTCGAATTTAAAATGGGAAGGTAGAAATGTTCCAATGATCTGAAATTCGAATCAACCAAAATATGCATTGATTAAAAAAAAATATTAATAACAGTAAGTACTGTTACGCTAAATTTTTTTCATACTAAGATATTTAATAAGAATTAAACATACTTTAAATTTACTTGATAATACAAACATATAAACAAGATTATAGGTAAATATAGTATGTTTATTTTTCCGATGTTTACACGCACTACTGTCTTCATCAATGTCAGAGCAAGTATAGTATAACCTCGATTATACAAGCTCTTTTCATCCGCAATACCTTTTGCAATATGCAATTAGGTACTTGCACTTCAAGAAGAAGAACTCCCATACCCACACCTGTGACGTCAGCGCCTGATAATCTTTATCACCGAAATGGCGTATTAAAGTTGAGCTAAGTTTTTCAGGGTGCGTAGCCAAATTATTCAACAAGAAATAAGTACCTTCTAAGCACTCAAAAAATATTTTAAGCGCTTTAAAAAATATCATAATTAAGCAGGGTTGGAAAGTTTTTGATAATAGACGGTTTTAATCTTGTTTTAACCATCATGTCAAAAAAAAAAAGAAAAGAAAAAAAAAAAAAGACTTTTGGCATTGTTTTTGACAATTGTCAAAAATCATGAAATTTTGAGTCATGTAAAACGAATGGCGTTTTCATACGCTACGGACAGACTATACGCCGAAATAGATTGGAGTTGAATTAATTGTGAAAACGTTGAATAGAACAACGTGAACTGTGTCTTATTGCATAATTCGAAGCGAAAATCAACATAGTAAAGGAAAATTCTCATTTTGAAAAAGGGAAAATTAAGCACTTTTAGAAATCACCCAATGAAAAAAGCACCTTTAAGGGCTTTTAAAAATCGAAAATAAACACCTTTAAGCACTTTATAAAAACGCTACACACCCTGTTTTTCTACATAAGTTAGAATGTTAATTAACGATAACTAATTAAATTCAGACCCGCCTCGCTCATCGAATTAATTAATATGTAATTCTTTCCTGTCTACTTCCTTTACTTAACTTATTTATTCTTTTTTTATGTATTTTATTGCAACCATGATATAGTTTTGTTTTGTGTACCTGGCAACTTCGATGCATAATTAAGTTTGTTTATGTTCCACGTGGCTTCGCGTCTGTCTTTGTCTTAAATCTCTGTATAAAAATAAAGTGAAATAAATGATATCTTTGAGGAAGAATCTTTGTGAAAGAATTTAGAATGTGTCACTTAAGAGAATTGTTATTTGACGGATGTGGCTTACTCGAAATAGAATGGGAAGAACAGTTTCTAACGTAAACGAATGTCACTCTTCAACAACCATTCAGGATCGAGTCTGGCACACTACGAATCCTCACCACACATCGAATTTAGCAAGTACACAAAACAAAAATATATCAAGATTAAAATAAAATACATAAACAAATAATAAATCTAAGTTAAAGACGTAGACGAGAAATAATTATATTTCAATAAATTCCATGTGTGATGCGGAGCTTTAGTTAATTAAATTCACGTTAATTAGCATTCTAACTTATGTGGAGAAACTTAGCACGACTTTAACACGCCATTTTGCTGATAAACAATCAGCTGACGCTGACGTCATAGGTCACATGTGTAGGTATCCGTGATCTTTTTTTTTAAAGTGCAAGCACCCAATTATAAACCAAAGAGGGATTTTTATTTATTGCGGCTGCGTGTAATAATTTCTTTTTCAATTCAAAAATATGCTATCCTAATTCAGCGATGTACGCGATCTTCAAGATTAAAATTATCACTTTTAGCACTGAATGACTTACAGATCTCTCTATACATTACTAAATTGCTGATACAGGAATAAAAAAACAACGCATCTTCGCAAAATTTTCAAATTGGTCAGATGAAAAGAAATTACCAAAAATTTGCCATGTTTACTAGGACAAAATCCATGTTTTACCGTACTTCTCAAAATGCCTTGCTGTTTTTCATCTGGCGCTTAAAGTTTTATAATGAAAGTAAATCATCATAGTACGGAAAAATATTAATAAAAAACTGCAATTCATGACTAGTGCAAGAAAGGTAAATGGATAGTTAAATTATTAAAAAATAAATAAAATAAAAAAAACTAGCAATATTTCCTTCAATACACAACTTTTGAGAGGTAATCACTTTCGGCATATGGGAGTTCTTATGGCAACTGCAAAGATTTCTAGGAGTATTTTTTTGCGTGGTCGATGACTCAGGATTATTATCAGCAACATTTTTTTCAAGTATACGGACGTCTTGGTGTGAGGGCGGCACCAGCTTGCAGTGATAAACTCCAGTGCGTATTTGGACATTGTGATGACCACATCACAACTCCCCACCCCAGCTATTATTTGTTTTTTGCTGTTTTTTTTATTTTCATTGCTTTTCATACAATATATCACATATTCTTTCTATTTGCTTCATTTTTTCGTTGCTTTGCAATTTATTCATAACAAGAAACAAAAATATTAAATTAAAAAGGAAAAATTTCTTATTCAAACAAATACATTGCTTACAAATGTTTAATATATGCAGTACAGAAGTAGAAAAAAAGACCCTATTATAATCAACAATTTATATTTTATAAGGCATCGTTGAAACAAAAGTAATCATTCACAATAAACTCTTTTAATCAACCTAGTTGGATACAATTGATTCAATTTAGAATGTGATGTTGAAAATAAATAGTGGTAGACAAAACGCAATGGATGTTATTTTCGACTATTCTGTCTTAACAAATCATTCTTCATACCGAGGATATCCACCTTCGAGTAAAGCATGGTGTTCTGTAATCACTACCCCTGATCTACATTTTTAGAATCTTTTTATTTACTTTTTCAGAAATGAATAGAAAAAATAAACGTTTGAGGTCGCAAATAAATATTTAAACGATGAAAAATGATATAGAATTATGATAAATCACTAAATTGAAAGGCGTGATTAAAAGCATCAGTACCTATTTGATTGCTAAATAGGTAGACAACAGTTGAGAGGTGATTATTATAAAGATTTTCAAGTGTAAAGTGGATTCTGATGTTTTAACCATGCCTTCCTCAATAGTGTTGGGTCAGCAGATGATATCGTTTTCACTCTATCCTAGCTAAAGAATTTATAAAAAAGTTTCATTTCAGAACACTACGTGCATTAATAATTTTACATATTTATCATATTGCTATTACACGTAGCATATACAGGTATAATCATACATGTAAAGATAATACAATTAAAAATAATACATTTAAACGGAAATTTATAATAAATGCTAAAAATTGTAGTTACATATATTTTTGCATTCAATTCATAGTGATCCTAATATAACTTTGTTAACCTATGACGCTCTAGAGCAGTGGTTACCAACTGGCGGCCCGCGGGCCACATCCGGCCAGTGAAGCCTTTTTTTTGTGGCCAGCGAACTAAAATTTATTAGCTGTCATTTCTTGGGAAGAATTTTTGTGAAATTCTGTGAAATTTAACATATTAACGGTGCAAAAAAATTTATTTCTCAGGTTCCGCATCCAAGAAAATATTTATTCAAATAGGAGAATAATCGTGTATGTTGCTCTTTTTTATTTCGTTTTTTCTTTTTTTTTTCTTTTTTTTTTTTTGAATGTAATTTAGCACGTGCGTATCAGAAATTTTCTCGAGAAAATTTTCCGATTTAACTTTTTAAAACCACTCATTTCGGACGAAATTATTTAAATTTGCAAATTTTGAGACCAGATCTTTTTAACATGCAATTAAATATTTTTAAAAATATACTTCTTATTTTAATTTGTAATTCAATACTTTTGTTTTGTGCAACTTGATAAAATTCCGACAGTTATATTTAATGCTCTTTCAAACATAAAACAGACCTATATAAAATTTTGATAAAGTTGCTGCCCGCCCTTTGACTGGGGTTCTTAATTCTGGCCCCCGGCCTGATGTAAGTTGGAAACCCTGCTCTAGCTAGTATATCGTTCAAGAAAACAGAATAAAAAAATTATAAAAGTATCATGAGGTACGCACTCAAGAAAGCTTTAAAATGTTTATCTAACTCTCATATTTATTATTACAACGACAGCATTGTCCAAATGGCAACATCGGAATAGGATCCTCACTTTAACGAATTTAATGCATTTAGTAGAATGCTTTTAACATAATTTAAAATCGGACAGACAGGAAAAGAACAAGCTGTAATATCAATGTGTTTATTTACTGTTTTTCCATTGTCGCCAAAGCACATTTAGTACGGCTGAGTCTCTGTATAATTCAAAATTTTATGATGTACTCTTCTCTTCATCGCTGTCTAGCACCGCCATTTTTAATGTTAAGAACATGGCTTTCCATTTAATTCCATTTTAAATTTCTTATTGAAATGATCGAATTCGATGTAAAAGGAATTTAAAAAAATTTCCAACTCCCACCTGGAGAATAATGACTTTTCGTTAATATAGGCATCTGAAGGGCAGATTTGTTGGCCACTCTTTCAGACCACCATCATATTAGGTGAGCCAACATTGTTCCCACAGTAAGGACAGATAATACAGAAAATGAAAGAACATCCATGCCTTGTCCAGGATTCGAACCCAGAACATTTTTGAGGCAATGTGAAAGAAAATAGAGGGTGCTGCTATTTGGAAATTGTAAATATTGACACTTTTAACCGTGAGAACTAGCTAACTGTTTTTTACGCTATTCTTAAACACTTACCTCATGCCTCTCGAACGTTACACTCGCAAGAGATACATAATTTAAAAAATTATTTCATAATTATTATTACGCTGTTCATTTATATTATTCACGATTGAATTAGTATAAGATGTCTTTAAAAAACTTTTGTAGCATTGTTCAATAATGTTTCGTTTATTGGCATTTTATGTTGAAGCATAGCAGTATTATTGGCCCACTCTGGAAAGTTATGGACATCAAACATGAGGGATCCTAAGGAATTTATCATCAACATTTGGACCGCAACACAAAGCACATTCATAAAAATTCCTGGTTTAGCCTGAAATTAAAAATATTAGACAGAAAGGAAATAACTATCCTTACTTACAACACCGATAACTAAAAGCATTTTAAACGTTTTTACTCTTATAGTAAATAACATAACTTATAGTATATAACTCTTATGGTATGTGGTTTATAATGTTTTTACTCATATAGCATTAACACAATAATATGTTTAGTTCTAGTGTTAATTGGCTATAGTACCGGCGTTTCGTTTTTTTTTTCATATATATATANGGGTGCAGGAGCATATGTTCCGGTCAGGTGGTCAGCCGAACGCGGAACCCCCAGTGTTAGTTCCCAAGCATGCTTGGTACTCATTTTATCGACCCACTGAAGGGATGAAAGGCTGAGTCGGCCTTGCCCGGCCCAAGGATCGAACCAAGGACCTGTGGCACGGCAGCGCGAAGCGCTACCACTCAGCCACCGGGCGTCATATATATATAAACACAAAGAATAATAATAAAATAAAATGGGGAAAAACTTTTAGTAAAGTTAGTAAACTTTTAGTAAAAAACGTAAAGATCTTCATCAGGACACGTCCTTTACAATAAATGCAATATTTCTGAATAAAGAATAATTATCCAAACATATATATAAGTTCAAAATGTAGGGAAAACATGGAAAAAATTACAGAACAATGAAAAAAGGGTTAGAAGAAGAAGAATAATAAAAAAACAATAAAAATCTGGGAAAAAATCCGAAAAAAATGGGGGGGAAATAATAATAAAAGTCCGTAAAATAAAAGATATAATCTTTTCATCAGCTCACACGATTATATCCGAAAAAAGGAGTGCTTTCTGCTATTGTATCAATATAGCCAAAGCAAAATATATCAATGCAATAGTGTGAGAAGCACTCAAAATAAATTTACAAAAAATGAAATAGAACACATTAAGTAAAAATATCACGTTGAAGCAGAAAATAAAATGTAAAGAAAAAACATAAAAAAGCATAAAACGAAATCTATAAAGCGATTAACGAATTCAAATGAACTTACATGAACGGGAAATTTTTCAAGAATGATTTAAAATATTTTCGTAACAAGATTGCCAGATTACAAAATATCTACCACTATTAAATACCAATTCACTATTATAAGACAAACTTAATTCTATCAGGAGGTACCTTTTGATAGATGAAGGTTTACATAGTCGATATTAAATCCCATTAGGATAACTAATTAATTCATACAGAAATAATTTATAATATTTGATATATAATTATAGTAGGTACATAATCACGACAGAAAAACATGAGAAAATCAATTTCGAAATCAAAAATTATTGATCTAGTTTCAAAGCCAAATGTTTCATTGTAAAAGCGCTACGTCTATGTAAACTAACTATTAAATTTTCTAATTTTTATGTAAAAAAAATTTTTTATAAAATTGACGAAAATATTCCTCTTTTATTTTCAGTACTCAATTATATTGCTTAGATATTTTCAATTTGATTTTTTTTTGCAGGAGAATATTTATAATGTAAAAAAAAACTCTAAGGTACACTCTGATAGTGTTATTTAATCTTATTTTATACATTAAAAACATAGACAATAATTTCTCTGTACTTACCATGTCCCAGGTTTTCATATCACCAGTTGCAAATACCAGTGTATTGGGTGCAGTTCCAATAGGCAACATGAAGGCGAAAGAACTTGCGTTTACTTGCGGTAGCAACAGGTACAAAGGATTTATCCCCAAGGCAACTGCCTGTAAAGTATTAGATTACCAAGATAATTACATTAGTCAACTTTAATATTTTATTATTTGGCATTACCTTAATGTTTTACCGTTTTTAACATCGTAAGCTTTAAAAAAAATATTTTTTTAAATTTATAAATTTTATTGGACAAGAAACGGTAATTCAAATTATTCAGAAATATGAGATCGAGATATATCGTGAAACACCGGCACCACGCAAAACACTAATAGCATATTTGGTTCTAGTGGTAGTTGGCTGTGGTGCCAGCTTGAATAACGATGAATCACCAAAACTCACTCCGAAAAGTCCAATATTCACCAAAATAAACTCGTGGCAAGTGTTTGGTGCTCTATGCAATTGTGATCAGCTGCAATTTTATGAAACCTGGCTCATCCGTCGCAATAAAAATAATTTTTTAAAACTTGGAAATCAATATGACACCAAAGAATTGTAGGGTGGGGGCCTAGGTCGTTGACCTCCAGACAAGAAAGGAGCATTATCAGGGAGCTTAGCAGTAGCGAAGCAAGTTTAGGAGAACTCTCACGTAATCCTGATATTAATGTGCATAGGTCAATTTTGTCCAGAATTGAAAGATGTGGAAACATAGAGTACCAAAAAAAAAGTAAAATTCAACTTCGAATAACAGAAACTCCCTGAGCTGTTCTTCGAACTTGGAGAAAAGAATATTCAAGTAGAGAACAGTAGTGTTCAGAGACGAAAAAAAATTTAATTTAGATGAACATGACAATTCTTCTAACTTGGAGAAAAGAATATTCCAGTAGTGAACGGTAGTGTTAAGAGACGAAAAAAAATTTAATTTAGATGGACATGACAATTCTTCTAACTTGGAGAAAAGAATATTCCAGTAGTGAACGGTAGTGTTAAGAGACGAAAAAAATTTTAATTTAGATGGACATGACAATTCTTCTAACTTGGAGAAAAGAATATTCCAGTAGTGAACGGTAGTGTTAAGAGACGAAAAAAAAATTAATTTAGATGGACCTGACGATTCTTCTAACTTGGAGAAAAGAATATTCGAGTAGTGAGCGGTAGTGTTCAGAGGAGAAAAAAAAATTAATTTAGATGGACCTGACAATTCTTCTAACTTGGAGAAAAGAATATTCGAGTAGAGAACAGTAGTGTTCAGAGACGGGAAAAAAATTAATTTAGATGGACCTGACGATTCTTCTAACTTGGAGAAAAGAATATTCGAGTAGTGAGCGGTAGTGTTCAGAGACGGAAAAACAATTAATTTAGCCTGACGATTCTTCTAACTTGGAGTAAAGAATATTCGAGTAGAGAACAGTAGTGTTCAGAGACGAAAATTTTTTTTATTTAGATGGACCTGACAATTGCCGTTGCTAGTGGCATGACCTACGTAAGGAGGTACAAATTTTCACAAAAAAAAAACAGCAAGGTGGTGGGTCCTTAATGATGTGGGGATCATTTGGATACAATGGTAAAGTAAACCTTACTTTTCCTTCAAGGCCTATGAAGGCCACAGATTACCAAGACATACTGGAAACGTATTTGTTACCCTTTGGAGAAGTAATAATCTGGGGATCATTTTGGCCTTACCAATGACATGAATAGTGCCTCAATTCATGTCGCTAAATCAACTTAGAAATAGTTTCTCACTAATAGGGTGCACACCATGGATTGGCCTGTTGTTTCTCAGGACTTGAACCCCATGAAGAACTTATAGGGAATTCTCGCAAGGGTTGTTTACACAAACGGCAAGCAATATAATAACACACGGGATTTGAAAGTAGCCATTACTTCTGCATGCGAAACCATTGACTCCCCGATGTTATAGAAGCTTGTAGATGGAATGCCTCGTAGTGCATTTGCAATTTGAATCAACAAAGGGGCATTTGTGGGAAGAAAAACTTGAGTGCCTTTTTGTACGTTTGACAATACAATTAATGTAAATTAATTGCATTTCTTAGCATTACGTACAATTAAATTATAAAAGGAAATCGAGATGAGGTCAACATTTTGTAACGCGCCTTACATTGATATGCAAGCAAACAGATTTTAGTAGTGGAACACATCTTTCACTAAGAAAAATAAAATGAAAATCACTGTTTAAAACCTTTTAAACTAAATATTTTAATTTGTAAATATTATTAATACTAATTCTTATGTAATACCTTATTCTTATCAAATATTTTCATTCCCTTTATAAAGTTTAAATATTACACAAACAGTACACCTTCCTCACCATTTTGCTAACAATGGGAAACAGTATGATGGTAGTTGTTAAGTTGCTCATGATTTCAGTTGCCATAGCTGTCATGAAACAAACAGTTGCAACAATTAAACCAGNAAAAAAAAAAAGTTTGATGTTTCAGTAAAAGTAAACATCGAAAAAATAAAAGGTTTGATGTTTCGATAAAAGTAAACATCGAAAAAAGGAAAGTTGAAGATGCTTCAGTAAAAGTAAGCATCGAAAAAGGTTTGATGTTTCAGCAAAAGTAAACATCGAAAAAATAAAAATTGAAGACTATATTTCAAGTTTTGATCCTACAATCAAGTTTAAGAACGAGAATTTTAGGATAAGTTTACCCCTTATTTAGAATATTTGAATGCTGTTAAAGTTCCACGCACTTCAAAAGTTCTAACTGTGCAGCATGAAATCCTGAACTGTGCAGCATCAAATCATGAATAACAGTTGCAAACTGACAACAGTTATAAAAATAGCCTATTATTCGCAAAAAAGCATCATTTCATATTACGACGGAGCCTTCGAAAAACAACCTTAAAGCAAACAAATACAGCGTAGACAAAGACAGCGCTGTCTTTAGATAGGCTAAACTTGACCTAACAGTCATGAGTAACAGTTGCAAACTGACAACAGTTATTAAAATAGCCTATTATTCGCAAAAAGCATCATTTCATATTACGACGGAGCCTTCGAAAAACAGCCTTAAGGCAAACAAATACGGCGTAGACAAAGACAGCGCTGTCTTTAGATAGGCTAAACTTGACCTAGCAGTCATGAGTAACAGTTGCAAACTCACAACAGTTACAAAAATAGCATATTATTCACAAGAAAGCATCATTTCATATTACGACGGAGCCTTCGAAAAACAGCCTTAAGGCAAACAAATACAGCGTAGACAAAGACAGCGCTGTCTTTAGATAGGCTAAACTTGACCTAACAGTAATGAGTAACAGTTGCAAACTCACAACAGTTATAAAAATAGCATATTATTCGCAAAAAAGCATAATTTCATATTACGACGGAGCCTTCGAAAAACAGCCTCAAGGCAAACAAATGATGATTCTTAACGAATTGGGAACGAATTACGGTTTTCCGAGATTAATAAATTGATTTTTGTTTGTCTTAATCCAGTGTCTACTACGAATTAATTATTGATAAGTATTTCACCAAGTAAGTTTCATCAAAGCTGAACTAGATAAGTCACTTAACTACTGCGTATCACGAAATCTCTTTACTCAAATGAAGAAAAAAAAGAGGGAAAAAAACAATGTTGCTTTTATCTGGTAAGAAACAACCTTTATGAATAAACAATGGTTGAAACTGTCTGTTATGTCTAGACAATACTTCTAGTTATATCTGGACAAAGCCAATTAATGCAATGAGATATTTGCCTTAAAATAAAAAGCATGATTTAGCATGTTTAAAAATTATAAGTGTCTTTCAATTTATTTTAAAAATATCAAAAGAGTGCAAAGCCTAAACTATTAATATCTGCATAAGTTATAGATGTTCTTAATAATCATATATACATCATTATTTCTCTTTTACGATAATACAATCAACGAAAATATTTAAAGTAACAAAGAGAATTAAACATGGTTCAAATATAATTGAACAAATATTGTTTTATAAAAAAATAACAATGGGTAACAAATTTTCGTTGCATATATACGAATTCGTGATCTTCGGGTGTGGGAATTTCAAAGATGAAATTAGTTGACCTCCTGACGCTACAGTTTTTTATCTTCGTTTGGCATTTTTAGACTATTTTTTTGTCGATATGTACAAGTTTAAAAGCATCGTAAAAAACAGGGAGTCAGGTAAATTCTGTGACAAACTTCCAGGAGAGTTAAGACGCATCATCAGGATTAAAACTTTATAGGAACTCATGCTCAGAAATGTCATCGTGCGCTGCTAGGGGTGCTTATATATATATATATATATATATATAAATTCACTAGGTAAATTCCTCTGAAACAAGATACAAGATACCAAGATACTTATAAAACTGCTGGGGTGTTAACTATTTCCAGTTTTTTTTTGACATTATAGCATTTTTTGAGGCATAAAGCATTAAAAAAGAATACCATTTTGAAAATATTGCAAAGGCATGAAACGTAGCATACATTTTNTATATATATATATATATATATATATACCAACTTGTTTAAAAAAAATACACTAAAAATATAATTTAAAAAAAAACTGTAGCTTCGAGAAACTGATTGCAGTTTTAAAAACAGTAATGCGAAAGTATTTAAGATCTGTTAAAAAAAAAGTCTCATGCAACAAAAAATTTAAAAAAGAAAAGATTTGTCCATCAGTGTATAAAATAATTTCAAATGCACAATATCATAATCCAATTTGTCTTTCTGACTCCTGGTGATGCTTAATATCCAATTTTAATGTAACACATCGCACGTAGAAAACAAATGACATATTATTTTCTAATAGAGAAAACAACCGGAACAAACAGAAAAATAACTTTCTTCGCACCAGGAAAATATCAATTCAGTAAAATTATTAAACATTTCTCATATTTTTTTATTGCCAAAACACTGACTGTAATGTCGAAATTTTATATATTAAATACCGTTATGTCACTAACGCGCTCTGGATCACAAGAATTGAGATATTATAGGAGATTAAGTTTAACCAATGAGGAAGCCTGTTTACTAATGTTTACCTGTGAGCCTGATAAGGCATTTTAAACTCACGTAAGTGTACATGCTTTGGCTCTAATGTTTTTCTTTACTTAATCGCTAATAAATATCAATAAAAACATGTTTTAAAGGTATACATTACAGAAGACTTTGTATAGCGTGTCACGTAATCACCACCCTTAACATACATTTTTATAACCCGTGCAATCGATTCCTTATTCCATGACCTACAGTTACCAACAATCACATTACAGGTAATGACGTGGATATTGGCTTCCACACGTATTTACTTAGGTTGGCTTGTATTTAAATAATACTTCAAGATAAACACAGATTTCATTTGACTAAAAACAACAATGTTATATTCTTTTCACACGTAACAGCTTTTTCTTACTGATTTTTATCATCTCAAAAAATAATGAATGTTGCCATTTCTCACACAACAAATAATAAAATACTACTGTGCTACAAGGTAAACCACAACAAAAAAAAGCAATTAAAATAAACATGAAATTACTTGTTATCTTCAAGGCTTGGTATAAGTTCAAGCAACAACAAGTTATCGCAACCTACGCATGATTTTAATCGTAAGTAATCAACTAATTATGAACTTAACGGATGACGTGTCATGATTACAAGTAATCATATAATTGTAAACCCCAATTTTGTACATGGTGTACCGTTATACACGTCATTAATGTATAGTTTTAAAACCTCTAACAAAAAAAGAATTTAAAAAATAAACACATTAGTGGTAGGGCTGATAATATGAAAGTGGATTGCAGGAAAAACTCGTAGTAATATGTCTTTTCACAAGTGAAAGAAATGGTTTTGAAACAAAACCAGTTTTACCCTTTCCTTCTCGCTCCTGTTAAAATGGTGAGTTGAGGCTTCACGCTCTATTTCTCGCTCCTGTAAAATTTTCCAGCTGGAGTGTTCAGTAGTAACGCGCCAATAAGAATAAAACTAATTCATTTCTTTTGTCCGGAAAACATTTTATTTCTCATTTTACACACCAGGTGGCAGTACCAGGATATTTTTAAGGTAATTGTAGATAGTTATTTTATTTTAGACTAGATATCAGCATTAATCAAATACGTGCATTTGACAAAATAGGCACTTTAATGACCGTTTTCTTGAAAATTAACCGATCATTAAGGGGTTAATTGTTTAAAGACACTTCTTCTAATAATCCGGTTTAATTTCATCGTGAAATTAAACAAGACTTCATGATTTTAGCTTCCTAATTAATGATTCATTAGATTTCAGTTTTGTTTTCTCGCCTAAATATTACTTGTTAATTTTCAGACTTGCATTCTTACAAAGACTCTAAAAATAGGCATACTTAAGGTTGTGGTTATGGAACATTTTGTTCTTGCGTAGATTGAATAGAATAAATCCTAACTTTACAATACAACTCATAATGTTAAAACTAAATACTTTATGGGATTATATTTGCTTAGGATGAGAATGTTTTAAAAAAGACAATGGATTTCTTAAAAAAAAAAAGTTTTTGTATACCTGAGCAGCAGATGCAAGGGAGTAGCTTCCTCCGAAAATAAGGATAAGTCCCCATGGAATTTGTTTTGAAGCTTTCTCAAATTTCAAGATGGGACCATTTTCAAATTTTTTGATATCGGAGGGCAAAAGGAACAATAGGAAAGAAATTGCAATTGCGGGTACTACATCTCCAACTTTTCTGGAACAAAATATATAATTTATGGCATGCATCAGTAGATAGATTGATTTATTGGATACAGTTCTGATGTACAGAAATTCTTACTTGTCAAATCCCACTAGCTTACTCCATCCATTCATAACTTTTGGGTCACGTGTCAACCACAACAACAGCAAAATTACGAACAATGTCGAAACCACTTTCTCGCAATATCTAAAATGTATAATGAAAAAAAAATTTTTTTTTGTCGTATTCTATACTAGTGGTATACCGGTTCTTGATACGGGATTAATAGATAATAAATATCTATTCATTAATACTATTCCACTATAATTCGTTAGCAAAACTAAAATCGTTAGCAAAGCCAGCTTTAGCATAAGCCAAAATAGTTTTGTAAAATTTTATTTTACAATTATTTGTCACTTTTTCGGGGAAATTTCCGTACCGTGATCAGTGGCAGAATAATCGCCAAGTTTTGGTAACTTCCGGGCAGCGTTTAACGAAAAAAAAAAAAAACATTACAGAATGGGGCCAACTTGAAAAGTACAACTAGTAGCCATCTACAAGTACAACTAGTAAACATCTATATGTTTTTTTTTGTTTTTTNTTTTTTTTTTTTTTTTTTTTTTTTTTTTTTTTTTTTTTTTTTTGGTAAATTAGCAAGTTTAAAATCTATTTGGCACCTTGGCGATTGTAGTTGGTGTGTCAGATCACGATATGGAGATATCCCCCACTTTTTCGGGTAGTTTTATATTATAAGATAAAAAAAAAAGAGGGATTAACTTATCAAATGAAAGATGAACTATACATAGTTTTATTAGGCACCGAAAAAAATGCTGTTGATCGTAGCCAACACAGAATAATGAAAATTTACCATAATCAGGATCGTCGCTAGGATTTCGCCACCTCGCCAAATGCGATAAAATCGGAAATTTGGCGAATAAAATTGTGTTTTGGCGAATGATTTTTTTCCAGTGGAAAGAAAAATAAAACTCGAATGGTCACGTCAAAATAATTTTTTCTAAACTAATTAGTATTTTTTATTCGATTAAAGCAATTTTCGGTAACTGCGTCGCTTTTGGTAGATTTAAAGCAGCTTTTAGAACCATTAAAATTTTAATTTGGTTTGTAAAAGGCCAAACAGTAGAGGGCAATTCCATATGTGACGGAATGACATTTTGACTTGCAAAATAACAATTAATTGAAGTTTCTATGTATCTAATTTCAAATAAAAAAAATTTTTATGCATATCATTATTATTGGCATAATGCGCTTCATAAACTAAAAAAACAGGATTTTCTATCTTTTTTACTTTTAATTTTACGAACTTTTTATTTGCGTGACGGAATGACATTTTGGCAACCAAGCTTTTGGCATGCCGCTTAGAACTGGTAGTTTCTGCGAATTTTGCAGCTATTATTTTTCTGAACTATTTTATACTTTTAGTATAATGTGTAAGCAATGTAAAATGTGAATTTGGAAAATTTACCTCAGGTTGGCTAGCAGTTATTAACATCTATTTGCTGTGACGGAATGACCGTGACGGAATGACAAAAAGTTTAGTAGAAGAAAGCCTTCATTTAAAAAATGTTTTATTAATATGTAAATGATAAACAGAATGCAACAGATAAACAGGATTAGTATTTATATAAGAATTAGTAAAAATTTCAACAGTTTGAAAATTAGGTTGACTCTGAAGAGGTTTTATATCTAACTTGCCAATATCACATCTTATCTTCGTTCTCAGGAAATTTATGCATTATTAAGACATGTGACGGAATGACGTAAAAGAAGTTATTTTTATTTTTTATATTAAACTTAAAATGTTTAAATTTTGTTCTATATGCATATTTTTACCAAAATATTGCAAAAGAAAGATACATTTCTTTTATTTTATAAGTATTTTTCAAGAAAACAATTTGAGCACAAATGTGAACAATTCACTTGTCAGCCATGTGATTACTTTAGAATGCTGCCAGATTCAAAAAATTTAAAATTATCAAAAATGAAACGGCAATATGTAGACTTTGGCTATTTTTGAATATATTTTTAAAATTAAAATAAGCAATTCATAAAAAAAAAAAATTTCACTTAAAAGTTGACACTTCCGTGGAATTGCCCTAGATTGAAACTTAGAAGTGATGTGATTCGGTTTTTTTTTATTTTGCATATAATACAGGGTGTTAAAATATGTTTGACAATTTTTGCAGTCAAATAAAGATTTTTCAAATTATCAGTTTGAAGTAACTAAAAGACAAAAAAGCGCACGATTTGCAGCCTTCTACTTATGGAACAAATTAATTTATTCTCTCACAATTTCAGAATTAGTATATCAACAGATGATTCTACTGAGAGAAATTAAAAAACGAAAAAACTAAAAAAGAAAAAAATACAATTCACTGCAAAATGTGGAAAATTGTGATCGCCGCAGACACATTCTGAGTAAATTGTTTTGATGACTGAATAAACATTGAACAGTTAATCGAGATCAATATTAACATCTTCGGATTGGTACATTGGCGTTTGATGGAGACTGTAAGCTGCATCATACACCCGTTTCGGAATCACAAGTTCATATATGAAATATGATTTGAAACCTACGCTTTTTTTCAATTTTACATGAAGAGTGAATTAATCATTTATATTGCGGGGAAGACAGTCTACGATCTTGTGTAAGTTATTGACAATGGATCCTTTTATCCCTAACTGGTGATCTCGATCTATGGTAGGGTTCAGTTTTCTCAACTACTTTGGTATGTTTGTGAGGGAAGGGCTGCATGCTCGCGCTTGCGAACGGAATCCTTTCATTTTTCTGTTTGTGTGTAACGCTTAAGATATTCCCGTCTAAGTTCTTTGGCTTTGGCTTTTTCAGCCTCGATAAGTTTAGGCCTTGGCATCGTTCTTTTTATGATTTAACTCTAACTTTTGTGACAGTGTCAATCAGTTTGGACACTCTTCATTTGTGATATTCGCCTGAATTAGTATTGAAAACGATCCACTTTGAACTGCGGGTTAGAATTTCTGATTCTTAACTAAAACAATAAAAACAAAAATATCGTTCAAATGAAGAAATTCTCTTTTATTCACAACTCAAGAAGTATGTATGGGATCTCTCTGGTCCCATACCTCAAAAATAAACTCACCCACTTAATGCATAACAAAATTAAAAGTGAAAAGAAAAAAAGAATTCTAAAAAAATGATCAAACAGCAGCCGTCGCCATAGCAACGCATGTACACTGTCTATTACTCTTGATTATTATTGTAGTTGAAAAGAGTGAGGACGCCATAAAATACAAACCAAGAGCCATATTGCCAATAAAAACTATATTTGAAGCAACAACAAGTTTGCTGGCCAAATCCAAATTCAACAGATGTCTCTGCAAATATTTCGGTTTGAATGGCTTCGCAAGTAACAGAAAACAAAATAAAATACCATGTTTCCGAAGCAGAAAGCAGCAAAAGCGTGACACGTTAATACTTACGATAAGGGACCTAGTTCTTCGTACCGCTTTGAAATAGTTTCAAATAATTCCTGTTTTAAAGTAGGGTTGTACTTCGATTTCCTTTATAAAAAAAAACGTTTCAAATTAGGATTAATGATAATAATAATAAATAGCAACAGTAAAATAAAAATAGTATCGTAGTATAAAAAAATAGTATCGTAACAACCTGTTTAAAATTCTGAAAGTTTCAAAAACACATTGATTTTTTTTAAATTTTTACTCTCAAATTTATCATTGTTATCCATCGATATTACATACACATATTTCAGAATACTGTATGTATCCGTGGACTTAACATATATGTGTTTCAAAATACATATATTCAAAATCTGTTATGTGTTCACAAATGTATAAAAATAAATATAGAATTATAGCCATGTAGAATTTATGAACCTATGAAAAACTATTATATAATTAGTTATTTCAGAAAAATATTTAGGCAAATACACTTGGAATTAACGCCAAGATTTTATCTACTTTTGACACTAGAGATCCCCGTGATACCCTTATTGAGTCGTTTTTCATTCATATCAACTCCCTCTCAGCTGTGCTCCACCCCCCACATAGCGCATGTAAATATACTCTGCCCTGATTCGCCTATATCAGCCATGTTTCCTTACTTACTAAGGTTTGTCTTGTTGCCTCCACTAAAAAATATTTTCATTTCTTTCTTTCGTCGGTTTCTTGCTTCCAATACGTTGCTGTGTTCTCATCACTCACGCCTCATCTTGATGAAGAGCGCCGTGGTTTTGGTGCTCAATTTATGTCAAACTTTATTTTGCTTCATTTCGATTATACCAAAAGAAGTCTTCAATTTTCATAAATACATAGAACTTCTTATATTTTTAGAACATATTTTAAATAGTTTTAATTATTTTCATATGAATGTACAACAATGCAATCATGGAATTGTATGTTCTTTGATTGTTCAACATGTTGTTTATCACCGCCGACACAAATAAAACTTTTGATCAATATTGTTGGAAATGAGCTGCGATGGCTTAGGGGTAAGAGCGTTCGCCTTCCAATGAGGTGCACCTAGTTCAAATCGCGGCAATGGCTGGTCGATACGAATTCAGCATCTGGCTTGCACCGACCACAGTACTGACGCGAAATATCCTCAGTGGTAGGCGGATCATGGGTTAGAATCCCCTTGCCGTCAGGTTAACCGTGGTAGGTTCTCGTGGTCTTCCTTTCCATGTAACGCAAATGCGGGTTAGTTCCATCGAAAAGACCTCAACGGAGGTAAGTTTCACCCAATACTTGATCCAGGAGTTCCCTTGTCTTCTGGATTGGGTTCGAAATTACAAGGCTACGGAGTTGAACATTAGTAGTCATAAAAGCAAAAATTGGATCGGCTGTACAACGACCGTTATAAAAAAATATTGTTTGAATTTAATTGTATTCAGTATCTTTAAATCTCCTACAAATTTTTTATTTTAGAATTATAAAAATCATAATTACCTGAGATAGATTTTCCATAAATAGAACCAGGCAATTACAGTGCATAGGAGCATTCCTGGAATACTGTAAATCATCCAAGTGGCAAAATTTATTTCATCACTTTCAGGAAAATGTCTAAATAATAACAAATAGTATTTTTAGAAAACATGAGTTTACCAGTATGAATATATAAGACAGATTTGGCTTTTCTTTAATAAATTGAAAATGATATTTTTTTAAGAAACATTTTTAAAAAAACTTGTTTCCAGAAGTACTGGAAAAAAATTAATGGCATTTCTACTGAATATTCCATTAATTTGCTTTATGCTTATCTTTATTTCTAAATAAAACTCGAAACTATATTGTCCTGCATGCCCGGGGCATGTAAAAATTCGAATCAGGAATGCATTTTTTACGCCTACGTGATAGATTAGGAATACAAATATTCACTGGGAAAATTCTGTAAAATATCCATTTTATCAATCAATTTTTCTTGATTAAGCACCCCTCAAGTTTAATTTTTTTACAGTAATGATCAATAAATAAGGCGAGTTAAAAGAAAAAGAGAATTGACATAGTAAAACAAACTTATCTGCATAGGAACGGTGAATTAATCAACAACAACAAGTCAATATGGAGTGTAATTCAGAGCTTGTCCGCTTGAAAACAGAACCACACAATCGTGGTACCCGGTTTTACCCATTTGGTCGTACCTCAGCAGCAAAAACAACATATCTTAAAGGCTTTTTTTGGGGAACAATATGCTATTTTTATAACTGTTACTCATAACTAACTATACTATAACTAAAACTGTTACTTCAAATGTTACTCATGTCAGATCAAATCTAAATCTGCCTATCTAAAGCCAGCGCTGTCTAAGCATATTTTGAAAAAGGCGCAAAACCTCAATATGGAGAAAACTCATAGTTTTGTGAAAGTGAAAGGCATTTTTGGTTTAATTTTTTAATATTTAAAGGCTTACTTCAAAACTGCGTTACATGTGCTCATAAAAGTTTGCAAAAACTTGAGAGCACGGCATTGATTTTGATAATTTTCATCTAGGTGAAAAAATGTCGCTAAATTGACTATTTTTTTAAAAGTTTAATAACTTTTAAAATATTTAAGCTATTTGTCTGCTTTAAAGCCCAGCTAATTCTTCAGGGCAAGATTACATACTTAATCATCACATTGCTTCAAGTATAAGGCACTTAAACTATGGTTTTTATTTTTATTTTCTTTGGCGACAGAACTTCGAATAACAGCGTTAAGATAAAAGCGTGGCTGGTAATCGGAAGATATAAAAATTTTGTGTAGAGCCCTGTGTATATAATTAAGATCTGGTTTTATGAAACACGATGCATTACTCTTCCATTAATCCTTTAAGTAGAAAATTGGACCCCGTTCCTGTTAATGTTCCAGTTCCTCCAATATTCGCTGAATAACAGATACTGATAAGAAACACTATTCTGATTTGCGATTGGTTCTGGTACCTGAAAAAAAAAATATAGATACTGAGTAAAAACGAATACATTTAGCCTCTTATTCTCAGTATACATAAGAACTCTGCTTTTCAGGTCTTTCATTTCTTTTATATAAACCAATAACGTTTTTTTTGGAAGCATAACATGTTTTTTTTTTTTTGGAACAGGTACAAAATATGTGTTACAAAATTATTAAACGTTCTTTTAAAACTTACTCATTTCCAGAATAATCATCAATCCTCGGATCATGGATGCATTTATTCTCTGTCAAAGATGTCTCTAAAATAGCTGGAAATAAATTACCACAATTATTCAGGTAAAAAGCGCTCTTTTCTTTTTAAAAAAATATTCTGCCTATTACAGATTAATAATTTCAGCGTTTTAATTACAGATTAATAATATTATTATAGAAATATAATTTCAAAATTATTAATTACAGATCATCCTTCTTACCGATTTATAATTCTACAATTATTGTTATTATTATTACTCTATATCATGGTGTAAAAGTCGACTTTTTAAACCCCCAAACTTTGACGTAAAACAAAGGGTGGACTTATACAACATTAATAAAAATGGACATTCGTTAAGTGTGAAATAATGATGCATTATAAACAATAAGATAGTATTATTTACAATTAATTTTGGATTTTCTCACAAATTTTCCTTATGCATCAAGGTTTTCATTAGAAACAATAATCATTACGTTCAGAAAAAAAATTAAGAATAAAAGATAATCTATTTAAGAGTATTTAAAAAGTATAACACATTGACACGTAACATAAAATTACAAACTTAAAAATCTGAGATAAACAAAAAGTTGTATTCCCTTTCTGAGATAAACAAAAAGTTGTATTCCTCCAAAGAATTAAAATTTCCACCCGTACAATAACCCTTATAGTTTGTCGAAAATAAAAACTCCTCCAGACATTCGTCTGGACCTGTGGCGGTGACCATGGTAACAAGGTATGACTATTTCAAGTAGGGGTGCAGGGTCACTGTTTTGAAATGGTTTCGGCAAGAGAAAGGGGAATCTCTTCGGTCTATTGTGTAAGTCCTAGAGTGAAGCTACCCTCCCTAAAATGCACTATTCTTGTTTCTACAGCACCAGACGGCTTCAGACTTTGTGGCGGGNGGCGGGGGGGGGGGAGTTCTTATCTTATACAAACTATACATTACTTACACTTACATAACTTAATTTAGAATATACCTTATTTGTGGGCAAATGCATCATATCCATACAGAATAAGGCTAAATATTTTTAACCGTGAAAATTTTTTGTAGACTTAATAGTTTTTTATAGATTTTTTTGTTTTAAAAATTTTCTTGTTTAGTTTTTCTCTGCTGTCAACTTAAACACCCAATATACCGAAAATATGCTATCTGGTAATTAAAAATAAGAGGTCGACGTATACAACGAGTCGTATAAGCCAACCCCCTTCTGTTTACCGTATATTTACACCAGTATGTACGGTATTACAAGGTTAAAATTGCAAAACTATTATTAATATTGAAAGATTATAATTCAAAAAACAAACTGAAACCTATTTTAAGGTCACAGATAAATGAAAAAACTTTTACATTAATGAAATAGTCAGTATAGGAATTTAAGTAAACCTATAAAGAAATAAATATTATTTAAATTAAGTTAAATGTAGGGTAAATTACAACTTTTATTTTAGATTTTGGGTTTAACTGAAGTTTGTTCCACAATCACCGCCCTTAATGTATATTTTTTTTAATCCGAATTCATTGCGAAATAAGAATACTCACAACACAGCAAAAATTAAAATTTAAATAAAAAATAAGTCATCTAAATATTCGAGCTCAATCATGATGGTTGTTGAATTGACAGCGTTAAACCATGCTTGGTTGTTGGTTAAAACTCCCTTTCACCATCTTTTTGCAATTGGTTTAATCGTTTTTCAATTTCACTTGAAGTTTAAACTGATTTTGATGCTTGAAATCCTGTCTTTGTTGTGATTGAACTGCTAAATGATTCATCAAACGTTGATAACTTTTTTTTTTTATACTTACATATTTCTTTGAGATTACTTCATTATGGACAAGTATTCTAGGATTCTAAAATGCTTTTTTAAGGCGGTGATTATACTACACCCGTTGTAGAAAAAAAATAAGTAAATAAACTATTTCAATTTATCCAGAAATAATCAATGTAATCAAGCTTTTTTATTTTATTTTTTTTTTAATAAAAAATTTCACTTCCATAACAAGCCCAGCAAAATAAGCCACAAAATCTTTAAAAAAAAAATCTCTTTTAAACTGCGCAATGCATTTTCTGAAATCTCTCTGTGAATTAATTAAGGATTTATATTATATACAGACGGAGATTAGACTTGCTCAGAAACAACTAACCGATACTTTTCCAAAAAGAGAAAACAAGATTAAGAATGAATTTTTTGTTATAATACTACAATTGTCAGAATTTAATTGCCGTAGTAATTTTTAAAAAAAAGAAAGAAGACAATGATTCCAAGGATTGAGACTACTACTGCGATTCATAAGGCATTTGAAAAATAACGTATGAATTGCAATAGTCTCCAATCCTTGGAATCAAGTCAAACCTTGACCTTGATTGATCCTTGGAATCAATCAATCAATAGTCTCAATTGCAATAGCCTCAATAGTCAATGACAGTTAAAACTTACGTGATTGTCCAATAACTTTTGCCGATTCCGTACTTCTATTTAAAGATGCACTAATTTTTTTCAATAATGCTTCGACAATAGGAAGCATCATAGCTGTCGTGGCAGTGTTTATCATCCACATTGACATAAACATTGTAGACAACATAACACCAAGTAGTAACCTAGGAAAATATTAAGCCTTAAAATGTAATTGTTTCATCTCCTGACACTTTTTTTTTCACTTTTAATTTTAAAACTTCTATATCTCAACTCTTTGTAAATAGAATAAGCTCCTCAAGGTAGCGTGATTTCCTTATTCTCCGTTACCATGATTTCGGCAAATTTTTTTCCCCAGGGCAGAAAATTTCAGCAAGAAGTTATTAAAGACGTGGAGAGGAATATATTCATACGCTACGGGCTGACAATACGCCGAAATAGATTGATTGGGTTTGAATTAATTGTGAAAACCTTGAATAGAACAATGTAAACTGCGTCTTTTTGCATAATTCGTAGCGAAAATCAGCATGGTAAAGGAAAAATCTCAATTTGAAAAAAGGAAAATGTAGCCCTTTGAAAAACAAAACAATGAAAAAAGCACCTTTAAGGGCTTTTAAAAAACGAAAATCGAAAATAAGCACCTTTAATCACTTTTTGAAAACGCTACGCACCCTTTTTTGAATAAGAAACTCGCTTACATTAAAAATGAAGAGAATTTTTCTTTTTTAAAAATATTTATTCATGTTTTACATGAGACAATTTGTCATTCCAGAACATTTTTTTTTTCGAACTTGTTAATTTAACCTGCAACTTTTTCGACAGCGAATATTTAATTTAAGAAATGCAAAATTATCAATTACTTGCAATTTTTTTAATCGCAATTTTTTAATGCTCTTTTAATTCCTCTAAGAAATTAAGTACATCGAAAATACGTTCCCCTTCCTTTGAAATAACATCAATGCTTCCCGAGTGTGCTTTCGCATGCGAAAGCGTGACCAAAGAGAATAAATTATAAATTTTTCGTAACGACCAGTGTAAGACATGATTCCAGATGATTAATTTCCGTTAACTTTCAGCTGCAGCCACAGGGTCATTTCATCTTTGCATCCATTAATGGAATTCCTCACCTTCCAATGGGGTGAACCGGGTTCGAATCCCAGCGATGGTTGGTAGATACGAATTCCGCATTCGGCTTTCACCGACCACAGTGTTGACGTGAAATATCCTCAGTGGTAGATGGATCACAGGTTAGCGTCCCCTTGCCGTCAGTGATTCTGGTATTGGTTCAAAATTTCAAGGCTACGGAGTTGAACATTAGTTGTCGTAAACCCGAAAAATTGGGTCTGCTGTTCAACGACTGTTATAAAATAAAATACTTACAAAAAAGGGGGGAATTTGAGCCACAATGAGCTATTAATTTCTCAGCTGTTCTGTATAAGGGATGTTAATGAATTAATATTTACAGATCACGGTCGCGAATAAGATGAAATTGCACCTTATTTGTGACCACCTTATTCGAAACCTTTTTAAAATAGCCATGGTATCAGAGAGGACACAAATGCTATAGCTTACCATTGCAAGTCTGTACCAATTAACAGCAAAATCTTCAGGGAAATTCTTTCGTGTAACTTGGATTCCTCTACAGCTTGGGACACAAGGATGCTTCCGATGACTAACATAGTTATTTCCTTTGAATGAAATCAGAGAGAAACAGCATTTTAATTTCTACATACTGCCTTGCTATAGAACAGTGGTTACCAACTGGCGGCCCGCGAAACCTTTTTCTGTGGCCCACGAACTAAAATATATTAGTGGTCGTTTTTCTGCGGACAATTTTCGTAAAAATCTATATGGGTTTAAAATACTATTCTTTCGGCCGGCCAGATGGCGGAGCGGTTAGCGTGCCTGACTGCGAAACCATGGCTGCTGGTTCAAATCCCGCTCTGGGGATGGATGTTTCTCTCTCTCTCTCTTTGTGCTGTCCTCTGTTGTGTGTATGATGTGTGAATGTGGCCCACCCTATAAACGGGTTTGTGGCAGTGTGGCCTGGGCAATGCTGCTCGCCTCCGTGACTTTGGTTCAAAGGTGCCCACTGGATAACGCGAAATGAGCAACAATTCTGGCATAGTATAGGCAAAGATTCAAATTCAGTGCCTCTCTAGTCACATCTGACTTTCTATTTGTAAATTNTCGTTTAAAAAAAAAACCTAATTTCTTCGTTTCTGTGAAATTTAACATACCAACGGTGCAAAAAAAATTTATTTCTCAGGTTTTGCACTCATGAAAATATTTATTGAAATACAAAAATAATCGCGTGTGTTGCTCTTTTTTTTATTTCGTTTTTTTATATATTTGGTGAATATAATTCAGCATGTTCTCGAAGAAATTCTCCCATTTAACTTTAAGAAACCACTCATTTTGGACGAAATAATTTACATTCGTAAATTTTAAAACGCATAAAAGAGGGAATAAATATCATGTTTTATTTAAATTCCTCGAATTGAATATCGCATGCGCGGAAAAGAAAAATAATTAATTTCAGATGCTCGAGATTTTTTTTTTTTTTTTTTTTTTTTTTTTTTTTTTTTTTTTTTTTTNTTTTTGCTATTATTCCTAATAAGGCGAAAGAAATTTTAATTTATCACAGAATTAAATTTTAAAGAAAAAAAATCTCGTCACTAAGCATTATTTGTAATGCTTGTTATTTTGGTTTTTGATATTAAAAAAACTTTGATGAGAACCTCACAGTAATATTTAATGTTCCTTCAAACATAAAAGAGTCCTATATAAAATTTTGATAAAGTTGCGGCCCGCCATTTGACTGGTGTTTTTAATTGCGGCCCCCGGCCACATGTAAGTTAGTGGGAAACCACTACTATAGAAAAACCAACGAAAGTGGCAAAAAAAATCGAAATTAAGATTTTTATAGATTAGGCATCTTTGTATGAAAAATTTTTCTTTCAAACTTCAGTTTCTTCGCAGTTTTCTAAAATTTCGTCTGCGCAAAACTCCTTCTAAATCTTTAATTTGCAGGCGGAAAACGTCATAACTCAAAATTGCAATTGGAAAAACACAATGTAACGTAGCTATCTATTCAATGTGGCCTTATCGAGAACTACCGTGTAATTGAAAAAACAACGTATAAGAGCTTCACGATTAATTCCCAGAAAAGTGTCTTGTCAACTTTTCTCATTCTATTACTTATGCTATGAACACTAAAATATAATTTCAAAAAACTGATAGAACAAAATTTATTTTTGAAAATTTTTTTTGAAAAATGAAGTTTAATATATAAAGATGGCAAATACAATAAAACTCTCTCAATCTCGCTCACGTTGATTTTTCAATGGATAGTGTTTTCTACACTAGGGAACGCTGCAAGCTCCATACCGTCTATACTTCCGGGTTACTGTTTCCGGTGTATTTTAAAGCCATTTGGCTCACAACGTAATTATTGTGTTTTGAGATTCTTGCAAACGTGGCATTTGATTACTTATTTCTTGTGTTTACAATGCTAACAATGCTTGTGTTTACTGTGCTAAAGGTGCTAACACTAACGTAAGATGTTGCAACAAGAACAAATAGTAATGGAAAGAGGCCAAATCAGGACTGCCAAAAAAGCGAGTTATTCAAAATCTAGCAACCATGTCACATTTTTTAACAATATATCTCTAAATAACCAAAATAAATTTTCACTTCAAACTCACCAGAATTACTTAATAGCATTTATATCTTATGAAATACGGCAGATTTGAGTTTAGAAATTATTTAATTCACTTCTTTTATTGAAAACACAATTATCAGTTTGAAAATATCGCCTCGCAGAGTAAGCTGTAGTAAGCAGTTGCAAACCTTCTAACCGGAACTAGAGCAGGTATTGAGTTCGAGATTGTTATTGTTTACATTTATATTGAAAACACCATCCATTGCAAGTAACTGGACGATGGAAAAGAACTTGGAAACCCTTGAACTTACGCTGTTTTCTTCATCTGTCCCTTCATTTATTTAGCATCTTGTGCAAATTTAGCACATGTTGATTTGAAAATGTTACGTCTTACTAGAAACATATTTTTTTTCCAAATGTATCGCGAATTAAATAATTTCATACTATCAGAGAATTTTGTGAAAACTTCATCAAGATTACAGAGCATCGTTTACCACTGTGCATTCCGGCGCAAAACATATGATTTTTTAAGCAAATGTTACGAATATGCTTATTAATAATGACCGGCTATTATTAATAATAAACAAGTTTTTTGGTAAATCTCTAGCAACTATGCACAGTAATCACACTAAAGTGGTTATTATTAAAAATTGCCATGGAAGTTTAGTAAATGTAATTAATTACGCATAATTTAATGAAACTTCAACTCAAACGTTATTCCTATAAGTCTACGTGCTGTGATAATAAATCTGCCTTGTAGAGTTAAAAAAAAAAAGAACTACGTGAGATGCGGATTTTTATCTAAATTTAAGTTTTAAATGAGAGCTTTTAAAACCTAATCTTATTATCATATCATCCCGCTTAAATTTAAAATAATAACTTTAAAAATTCAATCGTATCGTATCTATTGATGATGGATAATTTTTGAAATCTTGATTTCATAAATTTTAATATCCTTAAAAAAGATGAATGAAAATAGTAACATATAGTATATTGTGGCATAATTTACTCGGAGCAAATTAACCACTTGCACTGGCAAGAAATTCACATTTACCAACACTGTAATAAAAATCGAACAGCTATTTCTGTGATAATTGCCAGCTGCAGCGTATAGCACGTCATTGGCTATTTTGTGACATCGTGACGTGCGCGGAACGTCTTTCCATTGTAAGTGGTCATCTTCTGGACAAGAAGTAAAAGTAAGGTATAATCTTAGGGTGGTACGTTTTAGTTGGTCTAACTCAAATCCCGTTAGTTTTTTCTCTCTTTTTTTGCCATGTTTTTTCCCTCAAGTTACTAAAACAGAATGGCAATATCCAAATCAGAAACGAAAACGTTCAACAATATAGATAATCTCTATAACCACAATTTCTCCAAATTAACTAAAATGACACTTAAAACCTATATCCGCTGATGGTCTTCAATTAATAAAATGGTATATCCTTGTTCGAAGGTGAAATAATAATCGATTAACTATTGCTATGTTCGTGCTTAATTCCAATTATTAATGTCATCACATTTATATAGGATATATTGATTGCTATAAAACTAAATCTATACCTTCTATTTAACTATACCTATACCTTCTATTTAACTATACCTATATCTTTTAACTCTACTTATACCAATCCCCCAGTGGACGGATCGTTAAGACACGGTTTCCAGCAAATCCCCGAAGTCAAGCATCACTGGCTGCTATCAGTGAACCGGTGGGTGACCACTTGGATCAGTCTGCGTAGGGACCGAGGGTGTGCGGTATTGGGCCTCGTTAAACTGTTCTACTGTAAAGTGCTCTAGTTCGCGTGCAGGTCGTCGGGCTATCGAACCGGGGGTGCCATCCCCTCTGCAGAGGATCAAAAATTGTGATGGCATGTCTTCGGATCATCCTCATTGATGTTTCCCAGACAGTCGCAAACAGCCCATTGTGCAGCTCTAGTGCGACGTAAATAAACTACTACTAGTGCGACGTAAATAAACTACTACTACAATAATACTTATACCTCATATTTAACTACACATATTTCTTTTATTTGTACAATTTTTCATATTCAACTTCACATTCATATTCATATTCACAATTGTTCAACTATTTTTATGAATTCATTGGACAACCACTAATCACTCCCACAAACCCGATTCAATCAAAATAATTAATTCCATCTAGTGTTACTATACAATAAAGAACACAGTTAAGTTTATATCACGCAAAGGAGTTACAAAGTAGTAAAAAATTACACTTATATTACCTTCATGTAGTTGGCACAAACTTCTGGCGAACTTAAAAGACCCAATAAAGGCAATAAAAATACAGGTAATAAACCAGAAACATAAATAGGCACTGGTTCCAAAATCCAGTAACTTGCAGTAAGTATAAAAGCGTATGAACATCTCGATTCCTGAAACAACACAAATACTAAATGGACATTTAGTTAAGAAAGCATATTAAAAAAGTTTTTTTCAATAAATAAAAAGTTATGGTTGTGTGGGAATAGTAGTTTTCGACAATGTCAACATTCATCTATGAAAAGCTACCCCGCCATAGAATCGAGTTAACATGTCTTATATACTAATGAATTGGAATTATATTTGTGTAGTGGTAGATACACTACAGTACTCCCCATCAGAATTATATCTGTGATAGAATTCGATGAATAGGATACCACTAGAAGATTCGTTTCTGTTTTGTAAGAAGACGGGAGAGCTGTATTAAGATCACCGTACTTTTTGAGTGCTGATCGTGAGAGCTGTATTAAGTTCACAGTCGTGGTTGCTCCTGAGTTGACATTAGCAGTCGAGTATATGCAGGCCGACGTTGTGTGTGATCGAGACTGAGTAGCAACAGCGCGAAGAGGTGGATAATGTCGAAGTCAAAAGTAACAAGTCAACTGTTCAATGGGAACCATCCATCGACGTTAGCTTGTTCATATCGAAGTGGGCGTTACTGTGTAGCTAGTCTTGTTCATATCTGAGTTTCTGTCAAAATAGGCATGTTCACATCACCTCCGGGTCACCAATGTGGGGATAGTAGTTTTTGACAATGTCAACATTCATCTATGAAAAGGTACCCCACCTTAGAATCGAGTTAGCATGTCTTATATACTAGTGAATTGGAATTATATTTTTGTAGTGGTAGATACACTACAGTTGTAAAAATTTTTAACTTTTTCTATTAATCTTTAGTAAAAATTTTACATGGATTAAAATTTGCTTTTAGATAGTTTTCTTAAAAATATTGTAACGTAGAAAAACTCGTAGCAGTTACATATAAAAATAATTAAAAGACTTACAGCAGTTACGATACTGTAAATAAATATCCCTACTGATAATTATTTTGCTTAAAATTTCAAATCAGTTATATACATATATATCTATTACTGTGAATGACCGAAATTGGTGGTTGCCCACCGGTGAATGTTGACATTCACATTGCCGTTTTTGGTAAGTGTCCGAAATATATGCTAGGTCTAGTTAAGTGACACTGCCCGGTATGCCCTACTACAATATTTTCTTGAGGTCCAGTTCCACTGTCCAGTATGCATTTAACCGGTACTCCGACCACTGATGTTTCTCCTAATCTATCATCAGCAGATATTAAAATATCGAATAAATATAATAATATCGACGAATAAATGAATATCAAATCGGATAAAACAAATATTTCGGACATTCACCAAAGTGACTATGTGATTGCTGACATTCACTGGTGAATGTCGACAATCGGTACCGGCGAATGTCGTTTGATGATGTATATTTATGAACAGCGTAACTTATTTCAACCCGCAGAAAATGAAAACTTGAGTAGATCAGAAGAAAAAAACACTCAGTATAATAACAATAGATACTAGATGTCTTAAAAATCCGATCGGGGCTTTGAAAAATCCACTAAATAAAAAATGAAATGATACAGAAAAACGTACAGTTTGCTGGCTTTTACTTAGAGCACCAACTAATTTACTATCACCCAGTTTCAAAATTAGTCAACAGATGACACTGACTTATGCAAAAATGAATCTACAAAGCAAATATTTTCAAAATGACCACTATTTGCAAGAGCAACTTGGCGCAGTCGGAGGACAATTACAAAACAATATTTAATCCCCATTATTATTAATACAATAATTGTGACCACAATATCATAAAACAATTAGAACAATATTTATTAATCAGTATATTATTAATATAAACAATACTCGCGGAAAGATCAGTCTTGTTGTAATATGCAACAAAAAACATTGTTTTATAGTTCTAGTCAACATACCATTTGCTTACAAACTATAAATAATTTTTAACTCTTTTAAGTTGTTGATAATAACTAACTGGTTTCCTAAACAGATCGCATCTTTTAACGGTTTTTTTTTTCAAATCTTTGTTTATGTTTAAGATATCCAGTAAGTTAGTAGTAATTTAGTGATTCTTTTAAGTATATAATTCTCAATCCTAGATGAACAGTTCAATACGCTAAAAATAAAGTATATTCACGATTATTGCACCATTTACTGTGTTACTTATTTCAACACACAGAGAATGACAAATTTTGGGGCCGGCATAGCCTGGTCGGTAGGGGGCTGGGCCCATGTCCGATAGTTCGGGAGTTCGAATCCCGCCGGCCAAAGACTATAGTAAATGGTGACTGAAATCTGTCGAGTCGCAAAGTCCTCCATGTTCCCATTACAAATCAAAACCTCTGGAGGTACTGGATTGGAGATCGATCGTTTTCTGATTCAGGTCAAAATTACGATCTGTGGATGAAATGGGCTGTGACGTTTGTGTGGCTGAAGACGAATTCTTGGCCATAGGATGGCGCCACTGAAAAAAACAAGAAACGCATACTCTGCTTTAAAATTTACTCGGTTTCACCAGCAGGCTTGCCCGTGTGGCAAGTGGCATTAGAAACAACAACATAACAAATTTGCCAGTAGATTTTAAAATAAATTAATTATATTTAGTATTTTTATATTTGTAATAAATACTAGGTGTTCCGAAGATGCAACTGATGATTTTAAAAAAAATTAATACGGAAAAAAAAAGTGGAAAGTAATATATTATTCTACTGATCGCTGCGTTTTACTTAGGAAACTAATTAGTTTATCCTCCATATACTATTTCAATTAGTTATTTATAATATTATGTAGTAATGACTGTCAATTATTGAAAAATCTCTACATTTAAAATATTTCAGAAAAAAAGTACCCTTAACAAAATTTCAAAACAGTACAGTACTTACTTGGAGTGGTGACAGAGCTAAGGGTAATAAAATAAAAGGTAAAATTAATGACACTATGTAAATAAACAGTTTTCTATCAAGTTGTCCTAAAATATTCTTCCAGTTTTTCATGTCTGTTAAAAAATTAGGTATTTTGAATGACTAAAAATCATTCCTACCAAATATCGAATTCAAAAATTCGCAGGTTGTAAATATTTCCTTTTACGTAACGCTGTCAAATTGACACCTTAATTTATTCGAATGGTGTTATTTTAGAGCGATATAATAGCGTTACAAATTCAGACTAGTAGACAAGATATTTAAATAAACGTCCTTTTTCTTTTTTCGTCTAAGTCATTCAACTTATTAAGGACTCTGCAAATTCTATCCAATTATAACTCTTAGAATTTTGTTTTATTCTCTGCCCTTGTAAATTGATTGAAAAAAATTTATTACTAAAGCTTTATCGTGACTAATTAGGCTGAAAAATATTTTTGATTTGTGGTGGAAATGTTTTTACCGAAGATACGTATGTGCTTCTGAGTTTAGAAGCTTTTTGGAATTGACTCTAATTTTAAAGGAAACATTTAAAGTACTATAAAACAAATTTTAACTACTAATAATATAAAAATAATATCTCCAAGAAATTCGCTAAAAATTCAGTGTTCAGTTGGAGAACTGAAATATAAAATTAGTAAGTTATTTAGCATTCTTATCACTGAATAATGAATAAAGAGTTTTCCTTCTATGTTGGAGTATGCGACACGTCTTATTTATTTATTTATTTCAAAGCTTGGCGAAATGGCAACACTCTGGCCCTAACGGTTTCAGCGCCACGTTTCGGATAAAAGATTAACTACTAGTTAGATTGATAAATTTATCATTTTTTTTTAAAATTCATTTTCTTATTTGTTTTAAAGGAAATTAAAATTTATGAAGTTCGGTGTTATATCGTTAGGTTCTTTGTTTTACTTTAGTTCCATAAAATGCTTAATTCTTTACGGATACCGTGTGTTAATGAAGACAAAAAGTAGATTCTGAAAAGTAATTTTAAATACTTATATTATTCCCCATTTTTTTCTTTTTTTTATCCATTGTTAAAAGAGTCGTTCTAGGTTTTTCACTTTTCGATTAGATCAACTTCAGCACCCTAATCACATATAAAGAGCTGTGAGAATCATAAAAAAACGCTAACATAAGCATTAATAAAAAATTTAAAAAAAAAAAAACAGTACAACAAGATCAAATAATTAAAAAACAGACGATAGTTTCGGAACTTCTTTAACTTGTTTTCCGGACTGAGTTTCTCGTCCTATTTTCACCATCGCGCATTTTTCATGTTTTTACTTAATATTAATAAAAGTATTTTTATGATCTATTTATGAGTTACTTATTCATAATTACTGTCTTTGCGGTTATTTTAATATAAATATAAAATACTGAAAAAGAATTTTGCTATGTATATTGTTCTACATTGCTGCGTACCGGTCTGTGTGTTAAGTTAGTTAACGATTGGTTAATTTTCAAGAAAACGGTCATAAAAGCGCCTATTTTGCCAAATACGCGTATTTGATTAGTGGTGACATCTAGTTTAAAATAAACTAACTATCAACAAATACCTTAAAATTATCCTGGTACTGCCATCTGATGTGTAAATTGAGAAATAAAATGTTTTCCGATCAAGGGAAATGAATTAGTTTTATTCTTATTGACGCGTTGCTACTGAACACTCCAGATCGGAAATTTCACAGGAGTGAGAAATAGAGAGCGAAACCTCAGCCCGTCATTTTCACGGGAGCAAGAAGAAAGGGGTAAATAAAGTATAAGAATTGAAATATTTGTGAAGGAATCTTTGAGAAAGAACACTTCAGTATATGTCAATTAAGAGAATTGATACATGACGGACTTGGCTTCCTCGAAATAGAATGGAAAGAATAGTTGCTAACGTAAACATATGCCACGTTTTAACAACCAATCAGGATAGAGGTACTCTCTCTACGTCACTTGCAAGCATCCCATTGAAAGCCAACACAGAGGCTAAAAAATTAATCTATGCAAACTTTTCGACTCATGACTTGAAATGTATGGCCGTTTAAACTCAGTTAGTAACAAATAAGCCACAATAAATTTGGCTAAATCTGAGACTATTTTTTTATGATTTCAAAATTTAAAAAAAAAAATTCAAAAAAAAGTTTGATGTAAACTTTAATAGATGTAACCTTATGTGAGATATTTAAAAAAAAAAATTGAGAAAAACGGCTCAAATAAGCTTGAATGAATGAGGTATAGTATGAGACACAAGATCATGAAACATTATTAATAATTTAAAAGAAAAATGCTGAAAGTGTCTCAAGCCGTTAATGAAACATCCGAAATAACTTTTGATCAAATAATCAGAATTTCCCACACTAGCGAAGAAGGTAGTCAGATGCCCATGCCAATCGAGCTAAAATTTTGTATACGAATAAATTTTTTGTCTTGGCAACTGAATAAGTTTTTTTTGTTTCAAAAGAGATATGAAATTGCAGTTTTCACCCTCAAATATTACACCAAATTCAACTTCAAAAAGTGTGAATAGCTGATGGCAGAAATAGTTTGTTCAATTTTAAATAAATGTTAAAAATGAAATTTCTCTCATAAGATACGTGTAAAACTGATTTTAAAATCGTTTATTTAAAAATTTCCTAATTTACCCCTTCTGAAACTTAGACAAGTATTATGAGAATATTTAATTAAGACTTGCAAATTTAAGTGTCACAAAATTTTACTCCTTTTCATAGTTACAATAATAGGAAAGAATTTTTATTAGCTAAATACTGTTAGCGTTTAGAATTTTACAATAATCTCCCTACTTTATTTTGAACACTAGGTTTACGGACGTTTCTTATATACCTATCTCTACCAACACGCGTCAATTTGACGCATGAACGAATACATATAACAGCACTTAGAAACCAATGTAATTATTAGACAGCTGATTATATGCACTAAAAAACGGACAAAATATGCATGCAAATATGCACTAAAAACTTGAATATATGCTCTTAAAACTAGAAATATGCATTTAAAATAGAAATTAAAAGTTCAACTTATTTAAATACTACTACTTACTTTTTCCAACAAACACAGCTAAAACATTTTTTTGTTAAGAGGAAGAAAATCAAAATATTTCTTACTTGAATCTACACATTTCTGCAGAAAAAGCCTAAAACTGAAGTAAATATGATAAATAAGAGAAGAAAAATCATCGCATTTTCCGGAAAGATTTTATTAAACTGAATAATTTTTGTTGCAATACACGGCTAAGTGTTTTTCCAAATTTTCAAGGGTGAATTGATGTCGTCGGTCATCAAAGATCATTTTGAAAGCAGAAAATGACCTCACCACCTCAACCGATGTTATTGGACAAAACTTGTACAATTTCGTACTCATTGGTTTTACTTTCTCTGGAAGTTCAGTTCCGTTTCCATTAAGAAAATCATTTATCTTCTTCACTGCTGCAATACCCGAATTTTTGTTTTGAACGATACACCATTTTTCTTTTACTTTCTTCCCAACTGAGTCTGGAAGAGCATTGATGCACTGTTCAATTTTTTCAATTTCGGATATGGCCTCAGCCAAGGGAAGACCTCGTGTTTCGAGCTTTGTTATTGCTCCACTTAAGAAAGAAAAGTGAGTGAAATTATGGCCTTCTGCAAAGAGATATCCTGTAGTAATTCTTTTGTGACATAAACTGAAGAAGCACAGGAACTGTCAATTGAATCTACAACCGACTTTATTGCATCAAAATTATTAGCGTAAAAACGTGCAGCTTCAATCCATGTACCTCACTTAGTTATCACAGGCTGTGGAGGTAAGGGCAAATCAGGATACATTTCTTTATACAATTTAATGCACACAGGTGCCTTGAGAAAAACTTTCTTGATACTAGAAATTAAATCATTTACAAAGGAGAATACTTCTCGAACAGTCTCAACCAGTCTGTGAACAGCATGAGCTAAACATGTAATAAGAAGCATTCTGGGATAAAAAATTTCCAGTGCTGCTGCAGATTTGACCACATACGGAGCGGCATCACTGACAAAAATCAAAACATCTTCAGAACCATCTCTATCAGGCCATAATAATCTGATAGAATCATTGACAAACCTTGCTATGGTTGAATGATTGACTTTTTCAAGGGCTTTGCTTGCTAGAAGATGTGGTCGAGTAGGAATATTATCCATTTTTCCACAAATAAAATGAGCAATATAGCGACCGCACTTATCTGTCGTCTCATCGACTTCAATCCATATAGGGCCATCTCCAATATCTCGTCGAATATCATCCAGTACTTCGTTATATATCGGTTGAAGGTAGTTCTTTCTTAAAGTCGATTCATCGGGAATGATCTGATTGGTACAATATTTTTTTAAAAACTGTCTTAAGTTTGGATTATTTAACTTTTTTAAAGGAATATTGCTGCTTACTAAGGCTTTGCATAAATCACTAGAAAAATCACTTTCCTATTAAGCTGCTTGAACAGGAATAGTTATTAAACTTTGAACAAATCCTTTTGTATTCTGCTTTTTCTTCGCGGAGTGAGCATATTAGTCTTTATATGTTGATCGATTTGGTACTTTTTTTCACAGGAAATGTGTTTTTGACAAATCACACAAAATACTATTTCCCCATCGGTCGTAAAGTCCTTCCCATAGTCCGAAATCCATGTCTTCATTAAATTTGATTAAGTCGACTTAATTTTTGTCATATTATAAAATTCAGCTGTCAAAAATCACGTTCGAAGCTTCACTAACTACGTATTCAACTGATGGATGTCAAAACTATCTATCTATCGGATGGACTATCGAAATATGTTAGAATAGCAGCTCTCTCCGAAAATGTATTCACTCCACCTTTTAACTAATCAATCACAGGAAAGGGAGGTCATTTTCTACCTACCACAGAAGCCTTATTTTTCCCACACAGATTGACAATTATTTATTCCAGGAAAAGACATCCCTTTCTGAGGTTTCTATGACGAATGTCTGTTTGAGTGGGCCCTTTGTACCCCCCTTCCCGACACACACCTCATTTCTACATCTTTTTCACGTGATTGCAATCACCCCCAACTACATCAATCCACCTGACCCTTTCTGTGGTGATAAAGAACGATAAAACAAAATTTAAAGCGTTCCTTATGCTAACATAAAAAGAATAGTGATATGGTTTTAGGAGGGAAAAGTCAAAACATGCTGAAAATATGCATTTATATGAGTTAATATACCTTTTTATGCATTTATATGCACAAAGGGCAAAAAGTGATAAAATATGCAATTGCATATTATCCGCTGTCTAGAATTATATACTATAAGAAAAATGAAAATATGAGACATATATTTATGAAAAGTATTTTAGATTCAATAATTTTATAATACACTAATTTGATCAATTAACATCATTGACATTCTGCGTTTGTTCTTTCTATTATTGCTTATTGGCAACAGTTGTTCATAGCTTGTTTCATTTGAGATAACGATATCGGATAGAAGTATTGTCAGTACAATCCTATTTATTATTGATGTGATGCTTGCGTGTTTTCTCAAAATTTTGTCTAAATTACGCTCGCGTCAAATTGACGCGTATCTGTAGAGATAGGTATACCACAAAGAGAATTTCAATATTTCAACGCTTTTGAAGAAAATAGACCTCAATATATATAATACCTCGATCAATGGATAAAAGTTATTACAAGAGATAAAATAAAAATGCAAACGGGTTTTGTTATTTTCCTTACAAAATTCGAAATGCGTTAAAATGACGCGTCCCGTAAACCTAGTGTTAATTTGCTCTACAAACAATTAATAAATTTATTGTGTCTATAAAAATATAATATAACGTGTGAAAAAAGTNTGCAAACGGGTTTTGTAATTTTCCTTACAAAGCTCGAAATGCGTCAAAATGACGCGTCCCGTAAACCTAGTGTTAATTGCTCCACAAACAATTAATAAATTTATTGTGTCTATAAAAATATAATATAACGTGTGAAAAAAAGTTATAACACCGTATATAGTACGCAAGTGA